CGGGCAACGGCAGCGACCCGGCGCCGCCGGCGCCGCCTCACAACGTGGCCGCGCTGGTGCTGGGCATCGTGCTCATCCTGCTCATCGTGGGCGGCAACGCGCTCGTGTGCCTCAGCGTGTGCACGGAGCGCGCGCTCAAGACCACCACCAACTACTTCATCGTCAGCCTCGCCGCCGCCGACCTGCTGCTCGCCCTCCTCGTGCTGCCCCTCTACGTCTACTCCGAGGTGGGACGAGCCCCCCCGGGGGCTGCCGTGGCCAAGGGGGGCTGCGCTGGGGCGCGMGGGAGGGGTTACATGCTAAAAAGACCCCGCGGCGCTTGGTGTCTGTAAATTGTAGTGGCTGCTGGTGCTGGAAGTTATAGGGTGGGATCCGCGAGGGGATCAAACACCCGGAGCGTTAAAAAAACTCTCCCTGGGTTTGTTCCCTGCAAGGGCTRGGAAATCGCGGAGGTGCGCTGCCCGTGGGGCTGCACCTGCACTGCAGCTCTTCCCCTGCGCCCATATGTGTGTTGCTGCCCCTGCCAGGGCTTTATTTGCACCTCCTCATCTGCAGTGGGCAGCCCCTAAAGGACAACTCGTAGCAAAGATAAAAAAAAACCCCACAAGTTGGCAGAAGTTCTTGCTCCTGCACTCACACAGGTCCCCATAGTCGCTGCGTGCCTGGTCAAGGGGGCTTTGCTTCACCCTTGCTCCCTGGCGAGCCGTGATGCCGGAGCGAGTGCCAAGGCGGAGAGGCAGAATTAGAAATGCCCTAGGCTGTGTGAGCAGCTCCAGGGAGTCCTCAGGCACGTCCTGGGCCGGGAAACGGGTTAGCAAATGGTTAGGAAGGCCTTGAGGGCTCTGGTGATTTGCTCTGTCTGGGATGAGGTGATCGGCTTTTGCGGGATAAGGGAGCTCTTTAGCCAGGAACCAGGTTGCTGTGCTGGGTGGAAGAAGAGAAATTGTCTTTTATTTTAGGGAGCGAGTTGTTCTACTTCATTTGAAGTGCTCCRTTAAGGCTGCTTTGGTCTCACTGGCTGCAGGGCTCCTGGGGGCTGCACATGCTCTGCTTTGCCCAGTGCTGCCCCTGRACACACGGGTGCATGTGCAGAACCACCGTGGCCTTTGGAGGGCTTTGGCACCAGCCTTCTCCCCACCTGGGAAGCTGCGAGCGTTGTTCCCAAGCATTCCAGGCATAGCATTTCTACCATTCAGTACCTGACTGGATCAAGCCTATGCCTTCTTATGCAAGGAAGTCTGCAGATTAGAGCTTAGGATGCTCTTAGCCTCTCTTAGGATTTCTCCGGACATTGTGACCTCTCTGGAGATAAATGTTTTTCTAGAGGGACAGGAGCCTTGGGAAGATCCAGTAAAGAACAGGAGCAGTAGATACTCCCCTCTCTTCCTCCTGTGTCATTTGTTTTGGACAGGTCTGCTTTTCTCCCTGTCTCATTTTAGAAATAAGGGGTTAGAAAGCTGGAAACCCTCTTTCTCCATCATTCTTCTCAGCTCCTTCTTGCTAATAGGAATTTGTTTTGCTTCTTCATGCCTCCTGTCCCTGATTCCATGGGCAGATCCACATATCAATGTCGTTTCCAGACCTGGAAAAGCTGTTTTTATCAATAAAATGTGGGTTACCATGTCTGGGGGTACCACTTCCAAATGAGCATGAGCTTTTGGGGGGTTTCCTTGAGTATCAAAGAACATGCCATAAATGCTGGATTCTCAGATAACCTGWGTCTGACCTTTAAAACTCTAGGCTRCCTGGCCTGTGCTTGAGCTGTGATGGGGTTTGGAAGCATAGGGCAGSTTAGACCATTCGTCAGTGCTGAAAAACTAGTTCCCTGCTTTGCAATTTCTCTTTGGGCTCAGAGCCCACATGGCTTGATGAGTATTTTTAATAATCTCCTATATATTGGTTGGGGATTTGCAGTTCACTTCATTGTGAAATTTGCTAAGAAAAGGTCAGAGTGGCCATCAAATCAGTGCCAGTGGACAGAATTTTTCTTTCTGGTTTGCTCTTAGGAGGCTGAAGTGAAAACAGGGGATCAGAATGAGATTCTCGGTCTACCTGTATAAACCCATAGCCATGAAGTATCCTCCAGCAGGAAAAGCTCAGTCACCTTGTGCTTTTCCCCCTGTAAGATCAGTCCCTGCGTCAGATTTCTCCCAGATGTGACGTCTACCACCCCTACAAACCGACAGGTCTACCACATGGAGCCAGGTTTCCCTCCTGTGAGATGTGGATTATCTCTTGCTGCCGTTCACAAAAGCTTGAGCACAGCGGGAGCGATCTTGAGCTTGGCTCCTGCTCCTAATTGCTAGGAAAGCTTATTCCAGCATGCTAGCGGCTGTGGAGTCGTGTTGTACTCCCAAAAAAAACAGCCTAACTTTCTCACAGCTAAAATCCTTGTTTTAGAAGTCTTGGCTGCAGAAGGACAAATTGGGTGTTAGTTTTCCGCAAATGCCCCTTGTTTGTAACTGCAGGGTTGGAGAATTGCTGAAAGCAGGTGCTAGACAAGGACAAAATTGTGATGTCCAGTCACAACCGTTTCCTCTTGACACTGTTTTCACCATCCCTGTCATGGTTCCTGTAATAAAGAGAGGGAAATGGGGCCAGGTAATGCAACCTGAGGATCTGGCCAAGTCTGGTTTTGACATACTAGGCTCCCTCAGGCAATAAAAGAGTGGCCGAGCTTTGCCTACAAGAACTCATTTTGGAAACAAGCCAGCGGTGGCAGGAAACCAATATCTCCTAGTGAACTGGTTCTTCTCATGTATGAAGGAAAACCTTCACGCTGGGTGCAGAGCACAGTTGTCTTCCGACCTCTTCTCCCCACACTTGTGTGAGAGGAACATTTACTCACAAGCCCTGCCCTGTTCTAAATCTGCCCCTTRTGCTTGCAGTGCTTTGGTGAGGATTCTTCAGACTATATTTTCTCTCCTCATTAATTTACCCTGTCAAATTTATCTACTTTAGCAGCTCAAGTTCACACCAGGGGCCTTAATGAGAAAGAGTGCTCAAACTGATGTGAGAAGCTGTTCTTCAGTAAATCCAAATGCTGCTGTGGTTTGTCAGCTSTGTTCTTCCACAGCCTGATGTGATTAAGAAGCCTCTTACAGATGGAGAAAGGGAGAAACATCAGCTTTCCCCTGCGTTAAAACATCCATTTCCCAAGCAAACAGCTTCTGAGACTGTGGACGTGAAGGGAATTCTTGCTGGGTCAGCRTTTACAGCCTTCTCCTTATAGCTCCTCGGCAGAAGGTGGAAACCAGCAGCCCTTCTGCACCCTCATCGTTTGGGCATCCCAAATCCYAGGTCTTTAGGCAGGCTGCAGGAGCGGGAAGCAGGATGGCAGGGAGAGGTAGGAACCCATGGCAAAGGCAGCCTGCCCTTCTGCAGSATCCTTAGCTTTGTGATGGGAGTGTGAGTGTTGGGCTGTTCCCTGGGAATCCGCTGGCAGTAAGGCAAGGATGATGGGGAATGAGGGGGAAGGAGGTGGCCCGGGGCTCCAACWTAACTCCCTGGGAGAAAAGCCCAAGTTTAATGTGAAAAGAGGCCAGGAAAAGATACCACAGTCTGCCTGGAGCATTGATAGCAGTGTGTGTGGGAGTTAGAGTTCCCCTGCGTGCTTAGAGAAAGCAGAGCTGTGAGTTCTTCTGCAGGTACTGCAGGATATTGCTATGCCCCAAGCGCTTTTGCCCACTAAAAATCTGCTTTGAGAGAGCTATGTGCCTACAAAGATGGGTCCTCGTATTCATCTGCTTCATCAGCACCTAAGTGCTCTGTGATAGTGGCAGGAACCACAGTGATCTTTTCAGTCATGTATTCCTGCCGCAACTAAAGGGGAGACATTTGTAGGATCAGGCCAGCTTCCACTCCTGTGCTCCGCTGCAGGGTGGTCACGGTGTCTGCTCCTTTCTCCAAGCTCTTTCCTTAATCCATGCTGAGCGCCTGCGCAGTGAAACACATCTGCCCCAGGAAGCTGCTGGCCGGCACACTGGTAGGGCACCCTTATGTAAACGTCTTTGCGATGGAGAGCTGAGCGATTAAGGAAAGGAGGAAGCTATCTTAGCAGGGCTGCCTGTTTACCTGTCTCCTTCTACAGGTCAGGAGGGTTTTCCACAGGCGTGCGGGTCCTTGGARCAGCCACCTGCCAACTCCATGAGCATCCTCTCAGGAAGGGTGATGCTGTAAATTCTGTGTGAACCTTTTCAGAGAGTCAGTGTAACACTGGTATAGAAAGACATCCCTTTGTAGCAATGCATCTTGCGTGTGTGTGTGCGTCTGCAATGGTAGTTCTCGTGCRAGATGAGGTCTGCTCTCTTCCAGTTACTCTGTGTCTCCCTGTGAATGCAAGTCATTCTGCTTGCAGAAATATTTGAAAGTCTTCCAGGAAGCTTCATTGGGGTAGAAGTTCTTGGCCTGAGTGATGTCTGAGCTTCGCAGTCTCTGGAAAACCTAGTAGGAAAGTGATAAAACCCAGCAGTTACAAACTGGTGCTAAGGATCTTCAGTGACCAATACTATGGGGAGGTCTTCCATGTATTTTGAGCCCTTATAGTGTTTTGAGGTGGATAACCAGACTTGTTCCTTGTTTCTAAAAGCCTTGGCATTAAAAATTCAAGAGGGACTTTYGAGCAGACAGTGAGGCCTCCTTTGTCTTGTGTCCCACTCCCTCCTCCCTCCTTAGAGACTATGCTCATCTTCTGGAGAACACTGTGGTGTTCTCCAGCACAGCTCACAGAAAAGACCCAGAATCAGCTTCTTATGGGCATATGGGAAATTCTTTGACTCTGATACTGGACTTTGCCCATTTGCAAGGATTATTCTTCTTCTAATTAGTGGCATATCCCTCTTGGCAGGCCTTGGATCTTAGGATTATCACTTTGGGGCTCTCCATAGCCTTGCTGAGGGCAGGCGGGTGCTTGTTGGGAAGTGCAGCTGGCATCTCCTAATTCACTTGCAGACCGTGTGCTGTTGTTGTCTGGGTCTCTTATTTCTGTTGTTATCACCATCAGAAACTAAAGGACTGACTTGTGGTCTCCCTTTCTCAGAGAGCTCATTTGCAGGGCTGGCAAGAGAGACAAAGTTCCCATGTGGTGCTGCAATAAGGACTTTCTTTGCAGGAAATAAGACTAAAGAAACCTTTATCATCAACTTATCTCTCACTCTTAGGATTACAAGTGTAAGGCCCCTTCTGATATTAGGCTTGTTTGCAAAAAGGCAGATTTTTCTCTTATAAATTGGTTGTACTTAGGACTAGGGTCATCAGGATGACCTGAGCTAGGAATGCCATTTGCTGCAAGGGCCTCCTGAGGTGTCAAGTCCACCTCCCACCAACCTGTAAAATGTTTTTCATTGACCTCTTTGTATTCTCTGTAAGAAGTAATTTGAGTTATTCTTCCTCTGCCCTTAAGTGGTTGGTCCAGGCCTAAGCATTTGCATGGAGACACCAATATCTTGTACAAGACTACAGTGACTGCCTGCAGATCTACTGGCATTGCTAACCTTGGTTGGCTTGGTTGGCTAAACTAGCATCCAATTTGTGTCTGTAACATGCTTTGAACAGTGTTTGTCTTGTGTCCCTAAAGAAGATGCTTAGCACCTCCYTATAAAACTCCCTTTTCCGCCACAAAACATTGAGCTAAAGGCAGGACACAACCACCTCCTCCCCTCCCATTAATTTTCCATCTTCTTCCAAGAAATRATGCTTGGAGGTTTCAAGCGTAACCGTTAATAGGCATTTAGCAGGCTCACCCTATATATAGCTCTTGCCAGAACTGTGCAGACAGTGCCAACAGCCTTATATAAGACCCGACAGGTAGGCTGGCTTGTGGGGCCCTGTTTGCAGCTTTGCTTTGTATTTTCAGTGCAGGCAGCTTGTCTGTAGAGCGGCTGTTTGGCTGCGTAACTAGCTGGCACTGCCTTCTCATCATCAGCTCATCAGATCATGTGTTGCTGAAGAGAAACAACACTAAGAAAGTGGAGAATGCAAAAAAAGCTCCCGGACGTGGAGTTGCTCAGGAACACTATTTAAGGGCAGCTTGAGCTGTTTCTGATCCCTAAAGCTTTACACTGTACCTTGATGGGCTAATCTCCTGCAACCTGCTGTAATCAGGTACCAATTAGCCACATGACCCAGCAAAGCCAGATAGGCCTCTAATCCAAAGTCACTCATGCATTGGAATTGGAAGAGGTTCTCGGCATRTTTTGCTTAGGTGGGCAGGAAAGCAGTGAGTCCTCTCCCTTTGCTTTTGCCAAAATGAGAGTCTTAAAAAAGAAAACGAAAAAGAAAGAAAAAGAAAAAAGAGAGAGAGAGAGAAGGGAAAGGGCAGAAATACAGGGAAATGCCTGTAGTATTTTCTGAGTTCCCAGCTTGAATCATCTGGGAAAGGCAGTGTCCCATGCAGGTGCTTAGCTGCTGCAGTCTGAGAGCTCTTCTCCCTTTCAGAAACAACTAGTTCCTCCAAATAAGAATCCAATTTTGAAAACAGTGGCTCAAATTCTTCCCCTCATACCCTGAAGTGAACTTATCAGGATCCCAATGAAACTGGCAAAAAAATAATGTTTTCTTCTCTTGGTTCAGTTTGGAATAGTTGGCCTATGTGAGACAACAGCTGAATGAAGCACTTAGGTGTGAATCCAGCTCTTTTGGAGGTCTGGGTTACCTCCCCTCTTAAGGAGATGTGTGTATAAAAATAGACTTTCTTCGGAGTCTACTTTGGCTTTACAGCTTCACTAATCGTAATCCTGTGCATGACATCACTACTGTCTAATAGTAATCCTTGAAGAGCTGCCTGCCCCGTAAACGTGTACTGGGATGTGTGTGAATACAGAAGACCATCATGTTGGGGCAGGTCACTGTGGATGCCCAAAATTTGAGTGGAAGCCCAAAGTGCCAGTTGGAAGTAGACTTGGAAACATTGTACTAAGGAAGTAYAGCTGAGGAAGACCTAATGTTCTTCTCCATGAGGAGCAGCCCTCATCTCAGGAATTCTTCTTTCCACATGAGCACCAGATGGAGATGGGACAGCCCAGGCCACAAACACGTGGTATGATTGATGGGAGACATGTCTCCAGTTCGCTGTCCAGTCTTGGGCATGTTACCAGAAAGGTCTGCAAGGGCTGGGATGCTGCAGCTGCCTCCCTGGATGGTTTTCCTTTGGATTATTTAGACTAGACTAAATAAAAGCACTTTCCCTTGCTTTTTATGTTTATTGAGAAAATTCAACAACAGCCTAGTTGTTTCTCTTGGCTTCATCCCATCACTCCTCACTTCACACTCGCAAATCCATTGAACTTTCTCAAGTGTAACTGTTTCTCTTCGTGTAACTGTTGTCTCCTAGCCAGTTCCCAGACACTTGGCTTTTTCTCCCAGGATGATCCCAGGATTGCTTTCTTTGGCTTCTCACCATGAGTTTTTAACAACTACCTTCTCAAGTCGGTAAATATTTTTCTTGGTGACAAAGTGTCTACTCAGCAAACACTGCGGCAGAGGAGAGGTGTTCCTCAGATTCACAGCTGTGTTTCTGCACTTGTGGGGCAGCAGGACTCCAGAAACTCCACAGATCTTACCAATGTGCTTAAAGTGGCTCATTTACCCATGTGCTTGTGAGAGGTTATATCATTGTCCAAGACTTTGCAAGGGGGAATTTTTCAGCGCGTGCTCTTGACACCATGGGGCGGTCAATAGGTCAGCAAGGTCGTTAAGCTCCAAAAAGTAATTGCACAGGACTGCTCTGGTATTAGGGCAAGAGCTTGTGGAAGTGCAGGCAAACAAGTCTGCATTGTGCACTGAACCCTTTGTGCATGAGCTTAAAAGTCTGGGTTTGAAAGCCCAGACAGCAGCAGCCACAGAGAAGTGATCTGATCTGATTACGTCTGGGGTGGAAAGCTTTTCACTAACCTTGTTTGATTTGGAAAGCAGGAAGGCATGGTCACATCAAATATAAAGATGAGAGAGATAGGAGGCTCTTCTGGGCCAGGATGCAAACTGGCGGGGTATGATGGGGAACATGGTGCTCAGCCACAAAATCTGTTACGCTGGCAGCAAGGAAGATGCTTTGATGACCCGTGTTCCACCTGTCAGTCCGAGCCCTTTCTGTACAGTAAGGTATCAAATGGGGAGAAGGTGCCTGGCCCAAAACAAATGACAGAAAAAGGACATCTTCCATGAAGAAGTAGTGTGGCAGGGGAGGAAGGGAAGGGCAGCGCTGCTATGCAAATACAGCACCTGCACCCTGAACAAYTGCTGGTTCCAGGCAGAGATTTGCCCATCAGAGCATTTTGTGATGGCCTGAGATCCCTAAATTCTGGARCAGGTCTGCTTAGAAGGTGAACTTGTCCACCAACTTACCTCTTTATATGTTGCTAAAGAGTATGAGGTAAAGAGCATACATGTATGTGTGTGTGTGTGTGCATTACTTAATGATAAAGTATATATGCAGTAAGGAACAGATTTGCAAGACTTGTGTTTGGGTTGGGGAGGGCAGGTGATCATTGCTACTGAACTTCTTGTTTTGAAACTAAATTCATTTCTCTGAACCTCCAAGGAGAATTCTTTGCCTGGMAAATGAAACACATGTTTAATTCCAGAAATACCATCAAACAAAAAGCTTAGACCCATACATCTAGGGAGCTTGTATGTTCCTTGCTGAGATGATCTGGCCCACACCATGCCCTGTTTACCCTACTGGGACTACTACTTCTGCCCTAGTCCTTACAGAAATAGTACACAGGCCTGAGACACTGTAACACCATATCCAAGAAGCTCTTGTGTCTGCAACTGAGGTATTTTTTGTGTTTCTTTTTGTTTGGTTGTTTTTTTGCCGGACTATAATTTGGAGTCAGTGCTTGCAGACCAGTGCACAGTGGTATCGTCTTTTGAGTGGTGTAGGGATCATGGAGCATTCTATGAATTTGGTACGAGGGAATGAAAGGTCTTTTCTTAACTCAGCTGGTTAAATTAGGGTGGAAAGGGGGTGAAATGTGTTGGGCCTTTCTCTTACTGAATAGGAAAGATAAAAAAGGCACCCTCTGCTGCTACACTAAATTAGGAACTTAAAGAGTCTTTAAAAGGGCAGTAATCCCATGTGCAACAAAGCAATCATGACATACACTTTATCAGTTTTCAATGCTAGAAAGACTGGACAAGTATTGGTGCCATGGTCTAAAGAACAGCTTAATGAAGCTTAACTCATTGCTGTACCCTTTGAGCTTTTTCTTCTACTTCCATTTTCTAAAACCTGCTTCACAAAATACCCCCGGGCAAATGTTCACAGTCCACAAGCCAGTAGCAATAAACTGCAATCTGTTGGGTATTTTCTTGCTGCTTTCATGCTGTTTTGCCATGGCCTAAAAGTATGGACTTAGGAGGCAGCGTGGTTGGGGGAGGAAAAGATGGTAAACGAAAGACTTAACCAACCCAGAAAAACGCATTTGTCTTTTGCACTGCTGTTAAGCTCCTTGCTCAGTGATGCTCCTTGCTGGCTGCTGGCTTGGGAGACTTCCTTTGGATTTTGCTGTTCCCTCTTTCTAAAGGGGTGCCAGGTGGGGAATAGTTTGAAGTGGCCTATCAAAGGTTTCCTTAATTGATCTCTTTTGCTGAGCATATTTAACATTTCCAAGGGACTTAGGATGCCAAAAGGGCACTGTGGTTTGACTGCAGGCTTCTTGCTTGATAGGAAGCAGAGGTTCCTGCATACGGTCTTGCCCCTTCCCTGTGTTTGGAAGGCAGTCACTGACTCAGGGATCTTTTCCTTCAGTTCCAGGGAGGTGTGTGGACTCTCAGCACTGTGCTGTGTGATGCCCTGATGACCATGGACGTGATGCTTTGCACGGCCTCCATCTTCAATCTCTGTGCTATCAGTGTGGACCGGTGAGCACCTTTCTCCTCTTCATGCCTGCCTTCCCATGCTGGAGTATCCTGGCATCAGGCTACTTCTATACTCGCCCCTGCAAGGATCATAGGCAGAGTGAGAACAGGCAAACAAACAAATCCTGCMCGTTCGCTGCTGCTGGGGCCTTTGGCTGCAGAGAGACTGGGTCCTCTTTCTCCCTTATGGAGAGTGCTCTGCACTACCATTCTCCTTCACTGCCAACTTTGTGTCCCATCAGTAGCCTCATGGAGGGCAAGCTGAAAGCACAGTTGTGTGACTAGGACAGGACTCTTCCTCAAGATGCTTTTCTAATGAGGAAGACTAGTTGTAGCCTGGGTCTGAGCTATGTAAGTAAATTAAAAGGAGGGACGGACAGTGACAAGCAGTTTTGGGAGCAGCCCCTTGCGTCCCCAGAGGTAACAACATCATCCTATCGCTGACTCACTTGGACTCTGTGCTGGCAGGTTTATCGCTGTTTCGGTCCCACTGAACTACAACCGGCGACAGATCGACCTGCGGCAGTTGATCCTGATCTCCACCACTTGGATCTTTGCCTTTGCTGTGGCATCTCCAGTCATATTTGGCCTCAACAATGTCCCCAACCGGGACCCCAGCTTGTGTCAGCTGGAGGATGACAACTACATTGTGTACTCCTCCATCTGCTCCTTCTTTATTCCCTGCCCTGTCATGCTGGTGCTCTACTGCGCCATGTTCCAAGGACTCAAGCGCTGGGAAGAAGCTCGAAAGTCCAAGCTGAGAGGCAGCATCTATGGGGGCAACAGGAAGCTCTATCACCCCTCACCCTTCTTGGAGCGAAGGCAGGTTGGACTGGATGAATGCAAYCCTTATGCACACTCTGACCCTCCCCTGCCTGGGGACTATGTGATGAGCAACGGGGTCCAGACCATCTCCTACCCGCACCTCAGATATCCACACCCAGGGCATAAACGGAAAGAGGCCAAGATCAATGGCCGGGAGCGGAAGGCCATGAGGGTGCTGCCTGTTGTCGTTGGTGAGTAACAGTTTGCAGAGGTCAGGGCAGGACAGGAAACCTTGCACTAATTTATAACAAGACTCAATCTAACAGGACTTGCTTGAGCCTCGTGCAGAGAATACAGGTTTGTCAAGTGAACACCTCATCATCCCTTTGATCCAGAGGAGTAGTGTCAATAAATATTGCAAACATCACTCTTAGGAAACAAGATGTGTATACTATATATATACTGTACACACACACACACACACACACACAAATTATAATTTGACCTTTTCTGCAAAGTGAACCGATTCCTGGTATCTTAAATACAAATCCAAATTTATACACAACTTAGTCTTAACTTTGTTGGCTACTGATAGGCCTCCTCTACACCTCAGACAGTCCACTGTTTTTCCCCCTAGCACTTTGTACAGTCTGCTTTTTTTGCTTGGCCTAGTTTGCATTTCTGGCTAAATTTAACCCTTTCCTAATACTCACATAACCTTTTCTCTCTTTAATATCCTTCCGGCAGGTGCTTTCCTCTTCTGCTGGACACCTTTTTTTGTGGTCCACATTACAAGGGCGCTCTGCAAATCCTGCATCATTCCTACTCAAGTCACCAGCATTGTCACTTGGCTGGGTTATGTCAACAGTGCTGTCAACCCCATCATTTACACAGTTTTCAATGCGGAGTTCAGGAACTTCTTCCGCAAAGTCTTGCACCTCTTCTGCTGAGACTACTAGAACTACTGGAGGAAAGAAGGAAAGATCTGGATATTTTTTTGTATAGTTCATTAAAGATATATTTCTGCCTAAGGTTTGCTGTTGTTGTTGGGTTGGCGGGAAGGAAGAGAGAAGACAGCTAAAGGATAGTGGTTCCCAGCTCTCTGCCTCCACTACAAAGAGTTACAGGTAAGTAGCAGTAGATAGAGCTTGGATACTCAACCCCTTGTATACCACTCACACAGTCAAGCTTTTAAACGCTGGTGCTTGCCTTAAGTAGAAAGAGATGCCACAAGAAAGCATGAATGGTTCTCCAAAGAGCTCTTGTTTTGGATTCCTCTGTTCCTTCTGGTTTGGGCTCCTCTTAGCAGGTCACTCAGTAACATATGCAGCACCCCACGAGCCACCAAGGCAGAAGAGCATTGAATCATGCACCTGCTCTGACCTCCAGAGTCACAGATGTCTTCCCTGCTCTCAACTCCTGCAGCGGGCAGATCCAACCAGCTGATGTCTCAGAATGGGTTACTGAGGGAAGACATCTGGCGCCGAACTCTCCCTCACTGCAGTCTACTCTGGCAAGACCCCTCTCCCTGCATTCCAGAGGATTTTAGCTGTGAGGAAAACCCAAGTTTGTGCCCACAAGGCAATTTCAGGCCTTGCTGGAAGCATGCTGGGAGACATTCAGTGTCTCCCGCAGGTGTCTGTGGCTGCTGGGCTGCCTCTTTTTCCCTCATAAAGAAGAGCCAGAGGGAGTCTGAAAAGGCACACTCCCAAGTACTGGATTTTCCCTCTCTGCAAATCCATTTTTGGTCAAAACTGGCTTGGGTCAGAGTTTCAGTAAACTTTCAGCTTAACACAAGTTTTTGAGGAGGGGCAAGGGGCTGTTTCCCTGTTACYCACAAGCTCTGGCAACTCTGGAGCGATGCCCAATGTGCTGGTGCCGTGAGCTGTTGCTGAGCTTGCTGTGGCCTCAGATGCTGGGGAGGCGCTTAACAGGGGTTGTGAGGTGGCTGCTCAAGCTCACTCCATGGACAGAGCACTAGGGAGAAAACAAAAACCAAACAAAAACCCCACAAAATTGAACTGTTTTTCCAAGTCATCTCATTCCTTTCCCCCTAGCCTTTTTTTTTTTCCTAAATCCAAAGGGTAGTTTTACTTGTGTTTGAAAAAGGGACATGAAGGGCCTCCAAAAAGAAAATCAAAATAAGCAACGACCAGATAAAAATCAGAGGGCCCTCTCTTCTCCATGCTGGTGCCCTCTCTGAAGAAAGGGCAGCAGAGGAGCTCAGCTATGGGCAGTACCACCCCTCTTCTGCACAAAGAAGAGTCTTTCCAAGCTACATTAGTGATAATACCAGACAGCCTACCTCAACACCAGGAGCATTTATGCCTCTCAGCATGCCGTAGAACATGTCTAATTAAGCCGTCGAGTGCTCTTAGACACTCTCATTTCCAGCTTGGAGCTCTTGCCTTGCTAATTGTCACCGTTTCCCTGCTTGGGAACGGTGACAGCACTCAAGGCTGCTGTAGCTGCACTCCTAATTTCAGAACACCTACAGCTGCCTAGTAATAACTTTAGATACATCCCCTCTCTCCCCAAAATGCACAGTTGTGTTATTGCTAGGCCTCCCAAGCTATGTATCAAGCTGAACAATACAGGCCAGAAACCAGTCCTAGCCTGTTGAAAATCCTTTCTCTTTGGGTAAACCTGAGCGTAGTGACACCACGGGCAGCCCCAGGGAGGGTTTAATGCTTTCCTCCAAAGGCTTATGAGGGAAGAGGATTATTACTATGCAAAATCACCATCTTCTTGCCATGGATTTTTGGAACTGGTTTTTCTCCTTCCATCGGGCAACTTGTGTGCTTGGAAACAAGGAAATTCTGCAAAGGGTCCTTTTCTTTGACTGAGGACAAGGACAGCAATTACTCAATTTACTATCTACAAATGAACATGGTCAATTCCCATAGTGATTATAATTGAAAGTCTTCACGTTCCATGTTTTCACTCCTTGTGGTGGGGACAGCTGCCAGGCTACCAGGGCTCCTTGATGGTCAATAAAGTTTCAAAACCAGCAATAAAGTTTCTTTCTAACCCCTTTTCAAACACAAACCATTCCCATTATACAAACATGATATTTGGCAAGTTTGGATTCAGCATCATATCCCAGTTCACTTGTTTATGTAGTTATAATTGTCCTTAAATSAACACAAAGTCCTGCTTCCCAAACCAGCAGGACTGTAAAAGGACATTTCTTGTTGGAGAACGCAAACCAAAGGGCTGCACTAATGAAGGTCACTATTTTCCAGTTGAAAGCAGAGTTTGGCATGAAAAGGGAAGCTTTAACACTCTGGAGGTGCTACTTGTGAACCAGTTTTCCCTATATTCTAGTGCGAGATGCTGCTATGTTGCCTTGATTTATTTTGGGACTACATCAATCCACAGCCTCGCCAGCTTGCAACTTCACAGCATTCTCTGAGAAAAGCACCTCTCCTCAAAGAAACCCACAGAAATTGGGCTGAATTGAAGAAGGAAAAAACAAACCCAAAGGACATAACTTGTTAAACTCCTGTTTAATATGAGCTGGGCCAACGACAGTCCAGTTGAATGACCAGCTTGCTAACCTTGGGTTTAAAAGTGGATACGTAGGGCTCAACTAAAGAGCACCTATGCAAGAGCTGTTCACTTATTCAAAGGTGCTATTGAAGCAGGTTGCTGTGATAAACTTGGCTTTTCATCCAAAGAACAGCATGAGGCATTTGACATATTGCAGTATTTCATTTAGTCAGAAACAAAACCTTAACGGGCACGAGATGGAGCCAAGGCAACCTGCAGGTTGCAGTTGTGTCACTAGGGGTTTGACTGAGACCATCTTTTCAAATATAACTAATTTTCTTTAAGATTTAGCTAACAGGCAATCATAATGTAGCAATATAAGAAGAAACTAGTAGAGATACCAAAGTAATGCTTTTAGGTAGCAGGAGTTTTTCCAGGAGTTTTACATATTATTTTWTTGTATATTTTGCCTAAGTTTGTGCCTGGCTTTCAATGAAGGAAGCATTAAAAAATATTAATCGACTGCCACCAACCTGTGCTGGGTATCAGTAGTTATCTCTCCATGAAGAGGTCCCATTTGGTGCTTCTCAGTAGCTGGCGCAGCAGGCAAAAAAAACTTCTACTGAGTGGCTCTTCTGAAGAGAGACTTCAACGGTACAAGAGACTGGTATAAGTGATAATAAACCAGTTTCCATCTCCTTGTGACAACCAAAAAACTGAGTTTCACAGAAGAGGGCATGGATTTATTAGAAGTCTCTAATTTAAGATTAAAGATTCTCCTTCACTTTTTTTTTTTCTCTTCATTATTATTTTACTGTAACTTTAGATGAAAATTTTTCCCTTTTCCTAACATTGGTGATTCTGGATTGGGTCACTCAGCGATTCAAGGTGGTACCTCTCATACTGTAAGATAAATAACAATCCTCCTTCCTCAATAGTACTAAATTGGAATGAACAATCAGACAAGATATGTACACCATGCTCAGTTGTTATGGCTGAAAYTGAAAAGAAGAATCAACGAAGAGATGTGGATGCTTACAAGAATCCTCAACTTTGATGCATTCATCTTAAAAAAAAGAATAAAAGAGCTTGATTAGTCTAAATTATTAAAGGAATACCTTAAAGGATTTTGTTGCCTGAACTACTGTAAGAAATGAAGCGCATAACTTTCCAGTGCTCATCACTTCTCTAATTAGCAGCTACTAAATAGCAACGATACGATAACATTTGTATATTCTGACTTTGGGGTTGATCGGATGTAATTTTGGCTGGATGRCTGCTACAGGGTGACAGCTATGGTAGGCCAAGATCATAAAATGCCATCTCTTCTGCTGCAAAACCTACATGCAACCCATCTTTCTATATGCAGACAAACATATAGGTACATGYTCCATCCAGTAACCAAAGCTGCATTCCAGTCATACCAGCTCCTAACCAGCTCAGGCTTTTTCATTTATTAATAGATTGAAGTGCTGTAGTGGGAATTAAATAGCACAGTAAGGCACTCTCAAGTTGTCACTGCATTTTGTTTTATTTAACAACACTTTATTTTTCACTTATATTCAAGCGCAGAAGCTCCAATGTGTTCCAAATTTGCCCAGCACAGACGGAACACAGGGAAAAAAAATCCTTCCATTGGCAAATTAGAGTTTATCCTGTCTTTTTCAAGACAATTAAATAAACCAAATGAAAGATTTTTTTTTATATATATGAGAGGTAGGGAGGCACAAGGAGAAGGAAACACTGGCAAATCTCAGTGCAGCAACCACTTTGGATCCATATCAAGTGATATGGTATCACTGTTATCCACACAGTGGAAATTTCAGTCTGGCAAGGTCAAAGTTTCCTTAAACCGAAGGTGACTCCCAGCTGGAACATTGCAGATAGTTGTAGTTTTTTTGTTCATTTTGAGCTTCTTCCACTCCCACCCCAGATCAGGTTTTCTCAGTCTCTGCATTATTGAAACTTTTGAAACAGGCAACTGCTCTCAAAGTATTAAAAAACCTTTCGAAAAATGAGTTTGCTAGTGAGAAGAGTATGGTTCCTGAGGGACAGACTGTCCACGTTGCGTTGCCGATCCAGCCGGCCACGCTAGATTGTTCCTGGAAAACGCAGGGARGAGGAGAGTTTGTTCAGACGGCGACTTTCTCCATGACGCTGTCTGCCACGTGCACCTCGTCTGCCTGCACCGTCATTGTGGCCGACTGGCCACACATGTGCTGGTGATCCTTCCAGTCCTGCAAGGGGGAAGTGGGAACGAAAACGTCAAGGGGAAAAAGTGGCCCACAGGACCTGGACAGCCTGCTAAAGGCAAACTCGGCCCCAGCAGAAGCTGTCTGGAGAAGTGAGCCAGTGCTAGAGGGTGATATGAGATGGAGCTGAACACTGGTGCCTTGTCCAGYGCTGATCAATGTCAGGTAGGACTTGGAAAATTTAAATAAGGCAGTTAGGACGTAACCAACCCCACTCCTGAGAGACACCTCAACGTGTCTCTAGCATCATATGAGGCATCTTACTTCCTAAGTAAGGCATGGTCAYGGTAAAGGAGAGGAATACAATTCCTAATATTACTTTCTTTACACACTAGGTCAAGCTAACCAAATACTGATGTAAGCAGCTTGCTCAAATCAGATGTCTTGCTGCTCTTCCTCACATGAGTTAGCACACTACAGGTCTGTCTTCCTCCACCTTCACAAAATATTCTTCGGACAACTGAATCAGCAGCTCATGAAGAGCCTTTTACCTTCCGCTGACAGAAAGTGGAGCAATAGTTGACCTTGTGGCATCCCGTGCACTCGTTCGTTGCCTCACGACCGCAGTTCACGCAGGATTGCTGTGAAAATGAAAGGCAAAGAGACGCTGTCAGAGGTGACAACAATGGGGAGATCGTTACAGAGTAATATGGGTCCTGTAAGGTGATATAGTGCAGGACTGGAACTGGCAATGTGCTCGACAGTGGTGCGAAGATGAAAGCTCAGGGCTTACAGCCCTCCTAGTCCCTGCTGCCCAATAAATCCTTAATACATAAACATAAAGCAAATAGGCACAGTGGCTTCTGGGTGCCTTTTCAGACCTCCACAYTTCTTGCCATTTTCTCTGGGATTTCTTTGGGAAAAGGAAGGTACCTTTGTTTTCTTCTCCAGAGGGTAAGAAGCCCTTCAAAACCATGGGTGATACAGGGACTGTCATGGAAATCTGCTCACAGTGAAATACAGAGGCCTCCCTCTGTGCAGGGAACTTATGTCAGCTACTCTCAACTTAATATAGACTTACAGGAGTCTGTGTTAACCAACAGCAGGTATATTCCAGACAGACAGCAATGTATAAGCTATATGCAGGCAATCCTCACCTGAATTCTCCCTTCAATTCCAAAATTTAAAAGACAGGTTGGTTTGGCAGCTTTTCAGGACTACAATCGTGAATGTGCCCAAGAACAGGGTCTGGGGAAGAACAACAAGAACACTCACGAGGATGGTACCTTTCAATTTTCTCTCTCCCTGTATTTTAGGAGGCAGGGGTCTGATCCTTAAAGAGGGGTCTGATCTTTAAGAACTATGGGCTTAAGATCCTTAAAGTACTATGGACTAAACAGGCTTGCTTCCTGTGCTTGTACTCTGTATGATTACATAAGCAGTAAGATAATGGAGAAATAGAAAACAGGAGTAAAATTAAAAAACTATAGCAGAAGCCCATGGCTTAGCCATCAAAATAAGACAAGATGGGATGGATGGGTTATGGGATAACAAATCACACTTGGTTTTTAAAGGATGTTTTTATGTCTGGCACTTTAATCTCGTAGCCGTGACATCAGATAACACAACCTGTATGTTCAGGTGGAAACACCATTAAACTATTACAGGAATAAACACTTCAAGGAGCAGCTTTGCAGCTCATTAAATTACTGACAAATCATTAGCAAGTCAGAGCAGTGTGAGGCCACCACAGGAAGCAGCTGTTGGCTGCAAGGGTACTGTTAGTGTGGCACACAACACAGGCAATATTTAATTCCATGGACTTCCTTCTCCTTTCAGCAGCCTAACCAGCAATGCCCTGATTGACATGGAGTTCATCACATCAATTAATAGGCAGTGTGACTGAACTCTTATTTCTATTCCTAATGGACAGCCATAAACTCAAGCTACCTAAAGGAGGCTTAGGGCTGCTCCACATTGCTAAATCTCTCTGCAAGGACACTAATCTGCTCCTAACTTGCACAGTATTGTGAAATGTTGAAAATATGCAGTGTGAAGGTTTGTACGCACAGATCTTGGAAAGGTCTGTTAAATAATATGAGGTCTTAAATCATGTGTCTGGACTGAAGCTTAACTTATTTCCAGTTCTGAAAGCCAAAGGGAATTGTGTGTCTTTGATAACCAGCTTGCAAGACAAAAAACAGAATTTCCAATCATACCTCAGTGATACCCATCAGATAAAGCTGCAATATTATCACTCAGAAGTGACTCAGATTGATCAATCTGGCCAGATGAYGATGACAGATTGTGGAAACATAGAAGGACTGTGAAACATGGAACCCAGTGTGAACTGGACACACTTTGCAAGAACAGAGCATTAGTTCAGCTAGGGAGAGCTCGGGCTAGAAGATTAGACAAGATATAAGATAGCTGATTTCCATAATAATAATCATAGAAAAGTCCATCTTTAATTGGTACAAGACAAAGAATAAGATATCCCAAAGGATTCTTCACAGAGCATGAGAMACACACAGCTTACCTTGATGATGATTTCTGTTTTCCCATCTACATCTTCTGTTTGTTGAAATAGCTGGTTCTGATACTGCTGCAATGAAAAATATCCCAGACTAGTTACTTCATAGCCAACATAGGACACGAAGAGTTGAACGGATCCTGCCACAAAGCTCTCTCACTTCAAACAGACTCCTGAGTCTAGTTGAGGGCTCCTCTGAGGGACTGAAACCTGTGCCCAACTTGCTCACATATTAACCCTGCCCTAAATTCCACTGGGAACAGTTAAAAAAGGGGGAAAAAAAAGGGAAAAAAAAAAAAAAAAAGCAACTGGCACCTTCAGGCAAAGTAGGTTTACTCAGGAGTATGACCCAACATATAAGGAGATTAAAGGCTTAATTTCAGATTGTCTCTACGACCTGACATCCCAGTACTTACTCTCCTGTGAAACCACGACCTTCAAAACCTTCGTGTTACCATGACATAAAGTCAAATTAAGAAACTTCCCAGGGGGATGAAGCGCAGGCTAATTAGCTTTGCTAAACACACACAGAGCACCCCCAGTTCCTCAGGTATGCTGGAGGTGAAAGCTGTGTGTATCGTGTAACATAATTTCGAAATCATTATTTTGAGGCTACTCTTGGAATACCTAAATGTTGCCTGAGCCCAAAGCCTTCTCCTTAGGATAGGAAATATATCTGTGAGCTTGAGTTGTGGCTTCTGGCAGGAGAATCAATCTTCTTATACCTTAGGGAGAAATTAACTGTGGCTCTTGGGGGAATATTACTGCTGGTGAGAGAAGAAGTGCTTGGCACTGGACTCTACCACTCCCTTCTCTGCATCTGGGCAGAGAACTGAGCTGGTAAAAACCTGCAAAGGCCCCTCACTTCAGAGACTTGGGCAGAAATAGTCTAGGAGAACGACATAAGGCTTCTAAACTTCTTCTCGGTGAGGTAGGCAGGAAGAGGGATGCGAAAGCCTGAGGCTAGATGGCATTTGAATGCAACTAGAATATCACTGCATACCTAGTCCGTGCAGTAGGGTCCTCCTGCAAGAGCCTGCGCAGAGCCACGTGCGTGGCAGTGAAAACAGCGAATTTCAGCTTGGAGAAAGTGCCACAGCTCCAAAACTGAAACACTTTCCATCCTCAGAATCCCCTTAAGTCTCTCTAAATGTGGTTAATCCCACGTTCTTGGGGGATTTCCAATCTTGGGAGATTTCCTCTTGGGAGATCCAGAAGTTGAGTCGTGCACGGTCTGTGTCTGAGGCACAAAAGCTCCTCCACCTCTTCTCTCACAGGGGAAACATCTACTATCTTCTGTCCTCCTTCCCCACACTGGAGCAGCATGTCCTCTGGTTACACCAGGCCCTCCATGTCTACATCCCAGGGCATTCGGAAAATAAGAAGGAAACGCTGAGACAAGAGGAAGGATCAAGCCAGATGTGCCCAGCTCTGTCACAAAACCTCTCCCAGAGCCGCTCTTGCCAATATCCAATTTTCAGCTGGTTTCATTGRTGCCTTTGAGAGTCTAATCTGTTTTTTTTTTTTGCCTGCTGGAGTGACATTTCTTAAATGCCCAACGCTTTTTAGGTTAATTTCCTACTCTCTAGCCCTGAATTGTTTTAATCTTTCTAAAAAAAAAAAAAATGCAGATGCTCCAGCTGTTAACYGATTTAATCTCCTACCTTGTTTTCAAATAGATGGGGCCCGATGGATACCAATGCATTAAGGGACCTATGTCAGTTTAAAAGACACTTCAGAATTCAACTCCAATTATTTTTAATTTACAAAGGACTACTGTTCAACACATAKCCTGCATGTCTTTATTATTTTCCTGCAGTGTCTTCTGGCACAGGGTTTGGTGAGTTTACGTATTTTCCTCTTCTTAAAGTTTATCTGCTATGAATGATGGCTTAATGCACTCTCAAAAAAATTACATTTTCAAAGCACATAAACCTTTGGGTAAAGCACTGTCTTTAATCCACTACTTTTGGACCAATCCTCCAAGTGGTCAAACATCCCTTGCGAGAAACACGGAGCCTTTGCTGCCCCRCTCGCCCTCTCCCTCATTTCTGTTCTTTTATACAGCAAAACAAAAATTGAGACGATACCCACGGGATCAGACACACTCACTCCCAAGTTATTTCAGGAGGCTAAAATGAGGCCAGGAAAGGGAAGGCTTATAAATATTTTGATATTGTCTGTAATGAGCGTGATTCATTTGAAAGTTAGCAGCAACACTGAACTGCGTGGTTTATGGCTCAGTTTTCTTTCTGCCTACCACTTCCTGAGACCTTTACGTGAATATAACTTATATCTGGTGTCTCTGAAGCAGGAAGCCATACATGGYCTGAGCACCAGCTATATATGAGCCTATTGCTTATATATATATCAAAATATGCATATATATGTTATTTTCCAACATTTTCTCTAACTACAGATAAAGACATACATTTATATTCCATTACTGTACAGCTCTATTTTTTCCTTCTATTTTTTCTATGCCTATTTTTTCCTTCTAAAATCTGAGTGCCTTCCAATTCAGTCATCCTGAATTCTTACTGCTTCAGATCCAGGTGTTGCTATGTGTTTGGGATGGCAGTAAAGGAACCAGGATCCAAAGGATCCAATCTTTCAGCAAAATTCCTATTAGATTTGCCACCTTAAGAAAGAAACTGGAGTTCAAGAGACAAGGTGCTGARCTGGGGAAACAGTTGTGCACCACTGTAGCAAGCTGAGATACCTGYTATTTCCAGGCATGGCAATGAAGTTAGTGTATGTGGTTGGGAACTAGCCTGCTCCTGCTAACGGATTGCTTTAATCCTGATACGTATTAAGTCATTCTTCCAGGAAGAGCTGGATCTGCAGCTCTATTATCMTTTAATCTGTTGTATGGCCTTTGCTCTGCAGCAGCTGTGACATAACGAAACAATCTTTCATTTCTAAGCACTTAGATGCATACAGCCACACAGAAATTGGGCAAAGTGGCAGCTCTCCTCCATGGGAGCGTCCGTTCTGCTGCATCCACTGCCCCTGTTAATGCAAAGGACAAAGTTGGCAGGGGGACCCCATGTGTTCTTTGGCCTTTAGAAGCAACATGGGCACAATAAATACAAGATTAGTATCTTGTATTTGTAAAGCACCTATTGCCGTTGTATTAAACTGGTCCAGCAAAAATCATCAGYAACACACACACAAAAAGGTAGGTTTACTCCTATTCCTCCTTCTCATATACCTTAAGTGTCAAAAAAACAGTTATGACCAGAGAGAAACTTATGGTGGGAGAGGSGCTTGTATCACAAATCAGGGAAATGCTCCTGAATTCAGAAAAGCACAAACACAGGGAAGGAAGTGGCTCTGCTCCAGCTGGATTTGGATGGGGGGGAATGGACACCGAACTGCTGTTCCAGGAACCACTGCTAGGATGAGCAGAAGGGAAGAGGGCACATAAACTGGAAAAGGAAGCAGAGCGCAGAATTAGAGCCAGATTTCCAGCTCTAAAGCATGTCAAAGCTTCCCGTTTTTCAGCATCCCATACCCTACCCAGCTTTTTGGCAGCAGAAGGCCCCAAACTGAACAGCAGCACAAATATCCCTCCTGCCCGGGTGGCCTCTCGACATGTCACACCCCTGCACATCAAGGATGCAGCGTACAGAGGAGTTTAGCAGAGACAACGCGGCAAAGAATATCAAAGGGGCTGCAAGGACTGTCCTCGGGGATCTCAGCTCCCAGCAAAGTCTTCCCACACCCAATTCTCCAAGGCCTCTTGCTGCACACTCGTGCCTATGGAGTCAGTGGAAAGCTGACGCTGGCAACAACGCCAATGGCAACAACAGGCGGTGGGGTACAACCAAACGGAATTCACCAGCTATTGCCTGTGGAACAAATTCCCAGTAAAACCATTCTTCTCTTTCTCCCTCAAGTCCACACCAGCAGCTGCGGCGCTGCAGGAGAAGGGGGAACAYGGAGCTGGGTTCAGCCATGAGCTGCTATGAAGCTCCAGGGCCCCTCACATGCATCAATTTTAAAGCAGAAAACCAGGGAGAACAGGACGATCTTTGTACACGATCTCTTACAGAAAAGAGAAGGACTCCTGGGTGCCAGCCTGCAGGGAAGACTCTTGCAGCCCTTGCCATTGCAGCCTGCATTGGGGTCCTACCACAGGCCCCAAGTGAGATGAGCTTGTGCAGTGCCCAGTAAAACAGCTCAAACTTCCCTGCTTAGCCTCCTCACAGACTCTCCAGCTTGCCCTTCTTTTCATCCCTGCACCTCTTGAGGCACTGAGAAGCTTCTGACAGCTCTGCTCCCTTGCCATGAAGGCCGCATTGCCCCATAGATGAACACTCAGGATCTTCCCTGCTTTGGGGTTTACAGGAATTCAAGCCTGTATCTCAGAAACGTAGGGAGGCTGGTGCAAGAGCTCAGGACTTGCAACATGAAGCTATTTATATGAGTAGGCTGCTACCCTCAGCTTTTGGAAACCCAGAGCAACTCACTCCTTTCCTCACAATGCAAATAACTGGTTTCTCTAGTACTACTGCCATGGAGGGCTCAAGAAACAAAATTTTAAGGGCTGTAACCACAACTACAGCCAGTGAAAAATGGCAAGGTGCTGCTCTGGTCACCAGTCAGCCAAAAAGGTGGCCTTGGCTGAGCCATCTCCCCCGTTCTGGCACCATTACCTCTTTCCTCTCCACATCAGCTTGGATTTTCGCCTGTGTGACGGCAGCCTCGCGGAAGGACGAGCTGGCCTGTTTAGCCTGTTCAATGAGAGTCTTCAGCTGCTGGGCTGTGTTGAGCAAGGAATTCACCATCTCTTCCAAGTAGAGCCAGCTCCGCTGCTCCGTCACCTCCAGCCCATTCACCACCGAAGGTGAGATGGCTTTGGTAGGGGTCGGGGGGGGCACCGCCAGGGCAGGGAGGGAGGTCAGCACTGAATGGAAAGAAMGCAAAATAAAATACACAGAATTAGAGCCTTGCATTTCCATGAGCTGCTTCTGGTTATAATCTCTACCAAAACCTCCAATCCAACTAGGCTTCCAGCTAAACAGACCTACTGTCCATGAATGGGAGCTGTGCAGAGCAAGCCCAGGGGTTAACACCAAATCCAGGGGAGTGAAGAACATACCCGCTAGCCCCGCTGTTCTCTCTAGGAAGGAGTTAACACCTTCTAGTACTGCTGCGGAGTGGCACAATTCAGTAGGGAAAATAAGACCCTCAGCAAGTCAGCTGCCACTATCATCAGTATGTTCCACCTATGTTGCCCTTAACTATGGCTAAAATAGGTTATAAAAATTCTTCAGTGACCTAAAATCCCAAGTGTGCCATCACTACACAGGTCTAAACTCTTAGGTTGCAAAACTACAAAAAACAGGCACAAATCTGTGCTACGCTACCATCTGTTTCCCTATCGGATCCTGATCTTAACAATAACCTTGAAACTAGCTTGGAATATGAACAGGACAGTTATCCTTATCCCAAAAATACACATATGACATAAGCACATTTTCCAGAAACATTCTTTGGAAAATTCCTTATAGAAACCCCAACAGTTGTTATTTCTTTGGACCTCATCATCTTAGATTCTAACCATCAAACAACCTATAAGTATACAAATACACACATAAAAATTGAAACACCAAAAGGGTTTTAGAAAGACTCTCACTGCTGCCTGTATCTATTTCAAACGTGCCAGTTTGGATTTTCCAAGCAGCAATGTTCACTGCATCTCTGAAACCTCTGCTTTCCAAAGCGCTACGATGGGAGTGAACACATACAGTTTAGATGCAAAGTTTAACATAAGACATCCACATCCACTGACATTTGCTTAACATTTACTGAGTTGGACCGTCTTAAAAAAATAATACCAAAGGAGTCATTTCTTGTCTGCAGTCCTTTCCTCAAAAACCCACTTAGAGCACTTAACTTTTGTATAAACCAGAAGGCTGCAGCTATGAAACTACATAGGAAAGCACAGAAACCCAGCAAAACTGCTCCCAAGGCATACTAAAAGAACAAAACCCAACTGACTGAGATGTTGCAGCCTTTGCTTGCTCAAACCATAACCCTAATAATAACTGAAGGTTTGAACAGATTAACCAGGAAGCACCAGCATAGAGAAGTGAAAAGTCCTATCCTAGTAACCCCAAAATGCTTTCCCTGAATCTGTACCCACAAATCTCCCCATCACTGAGTCTCTGTAGTCTTTCCTTTTCCCAAACCTACCCTAGAAAAATAAACACAAGTCCTGGAAAACCAACACTACCTTTCTCRGACTTACTTTTGCAAATGTTTCAGAAAAATTACCAGTTGCTGCGTCTCTAAAACATTTCCTTTTCAGAACGCTGGCTGTAGCACTAAGTTTGCACACACCCCGRGAGACCTCAGTATGAGGAAATTAAATCCAGGCTGGGGAGCCCAATAAYACACCGTGTACACTCACCTCAGGCAACATTCTCAGGAAGAAACCTTATCTGCTTTTGCTGGCCTTGTTTTTCCAAGATTTAGCCCTACCTCTTGCTATAGATGCATACTACTTGCCAAAAAATTAAGCTGAAAACATTCACATCTACCAGCTCCTGACCTCAAAWCTCCCCACTATTCTGTTTACCAAAACAAAACAACAGCATAAAGAGGCAGGATTGATTTGGGGCCTGTGTAGGCCTGCTGATTGAGAAATCTACCAACAGTCTATTTTAGGAATTTTCTATATCTAATTACGTAGGAGCTTCAATATGATTCAGCACACAGGAAAATGAGTGGGTAGCGCAGGCTGAGAAAAGACACCCTGTACTGCATGCCTTGGCATTGCCAAGAGAGCAGCTCTCCAAGGCACCAAAAACCAACGAGCATTCCTTGTGTTTTTTTAATGGGGGGTGACATGTTCCTCTGATAAATGCAGAACCATTCAGATTGATAAAAGTCATTGCCCACGGAGAAGCTTTGAACCCAGCAGGTGACAGGACGTCAGAGGTGTTAAGCCTTTTAAGCTGTGCTCACATCCCTGCACTGGCTGCTGGCCTTTTAGGTGTGTTTAAGGTCTCTAGCACCTCTACCTGGCAGTTTCTTCCRGCTCCTGAATCGTTGATCCTGCTGGAAATACTGCCTGTTTGCTGTGAGCAGCCTCCCACAGAGCCCTCCATAGGACTATCTCCCTGTGTACCAGGTGCACAAGGAAGGTAGTTTGGTACCCTGGAGACCACCACATAGTTGCCCTGTCAGGCTACTATTAAACTATTAACTATTCCATTAGAAAGGAAGGTTATTGCAGATAGATTTTCTTGCTGGAAGCCAGAGGCAAGAAAATAAATTTACTAAGTGGAAAGTTCTCGAACAACATCTAGAGATCGGACTGCCTAAAGGCACTTCATGCTCTCCCACCTTATTGACAGCCTCTCCTCACAATCTCTTTTGGATACCTCTCCTGATACTCACAAAAAATGGCTCTCTAATCAGGTYAGTCCTTCTAAGACGGCTCAGGAAAGAAACAATTTAGTCTTTCAAACATCTTTTACTGCAGGAAAACTACTCAAAAGAAACTCCAAATAACAGATGTCTCATTCTGGAAAACATCTCCAAGGCTATGCTTGAAATGATACTGAAAATTCAAATGCAAATACTGTCCTGAGCAGGAACAGGCCAATATGGTTTCCTGAAGCAGGCTGCAATTCCAGCACTTCCACTCTCAGAGATAAAGGGAACAGTTATCAAAAACCTCAGAAATTCTCAAAAAATACTGTTTGACCTTTTTGGACAGACAGCCTTGCAAGTTCATCAAGATAGACTGACATTTTCACAATTAAACCACCTCGAGATAATAATTTCAATCCACTTGCATATGACTGGCATACATCTATTTGAGTAAGAAATCAACCTGTCTTTTATCAAGAACTGTTTGCAGAACAGAGAATCAAGAACTGTTGCAGAACTGTTTTCACTGTCAGCTTTTCCCTGACATTTGATAATATTATCTAATGGGAATTACTTCTGATCCCTCTGTTTAGCACAGGTCTATCAGCCAAGAAAAAAAAAAAATGACCTCTGCTTCACGAAAAGCAGAGGTAAAGAACAAAGCAAAGCAAAATACAATATTAATAGCATCAAAATCTGGCCAAGTAAAAGAGACTTAAAACTCTCGCCTAGATGTCAGTCTGGACAGACCAGTGAGTTATGAGATGAAAAGCAAATGCAAAACACCAGCCACTACTCAGAGGCCAGTCACAAATAAGTAAGTAAATAACACTCTTATGTTTTTAACACCAGTTTCTTCAACACTTCCATTTTTTAGCAGTATACAACAAAGCACTGCTGTAGTTCACTTAATTTATAAGTCAACATTACAACTGAAAGAGCCTTAAGTTTGTGTCATGCAGTTTCATTTGTTGATATATTTGATACTCAATTTAACTTGCTCTGTTGAACATTTAACTGACTGATTTGCGTTTGTCACCTTGGACATCTTTTCCTCTTTACTGCAGGGTCTGTTTGACGAAGCAGGATAGGCTCCCATTGGCACTTGTTAAAAAAACAACTATCATTCCAGCATCAACGTCAGTCTTAAGGGAAAAAAAACTGACTTGGGGCATGAAAGCAGCACATCACACTCGCCTGAAACTGCCTTCAGTATGAGAGTATGGATCCAGTGAAGATCCATAGAGTAAGGAATCCAATGTAGATCCTTAAGAGATGTGGGAAATTTTAGGAAAGTTTCTGCGGTCTAATTTTACCTCTGAGTAAGGGGATGCTGTCCTCAGATCAAATACCAAATACTGCACAAGCAGCAACAAAAACCCTTGAAGCTTTATAAAAGGCAGAGGGTATCAAGCAAAACAAAACTATTTCCCATCTGCTCAGAATGAGGAAAGAATACAAGGTAAACTCAAGCATTTCTAACTATAAAACATACCAATTTTTGGATGAGATGTTGGCAAAGCAGCTTCAGGAAAAGGTGAAATCTGACAGTTGTCCTGGTAGCTTGGATAGTGAGGTTCTGGGTGACTGACCCGGCAGGGCTGCTGGACGTTGGTGTCCTGGACTGCAAAGGAACAACAGCACAGTAAACAGCAGCATTCACATCCATATCAGGTTTCTCTCATCCGGATTTTTTTATGTTTATATGAGTTTTTAAACTCTGTGAAAATCCCAAGAGTTGCCAATGAGAAATAATGGTGACTTTGCACTGCTAGAAAGCAAGGCAACTTTGCACAGTGATTTCATCTACCTCTGTCCCCACTTTTAAGGACTTTGGCCAAGATTACTTCCTCCTCTCAATCCTGTCTATTTACACTGATGACTCCAAATGATATTCTCAGGGGAGGTTAATTCCTTCAGCTGCTGATCAGCCTTTYCAGCAAAACCCATAACGCTGCATCATCTGCCAGACAGAAGTCTGGTGTGATCTTCAGAGAACTGAAGTCAAAATAAGCTGATGAACATGACCTGCAGAGCGGAGATCTCAGCTGGTGCTCATCAGCAGTTCTGGGAAGGTGGAGAACTGCTGTCTTAAGTATCACTAAAAGTAATATCTGAATTAAACTGGAAGAATAGAAAAGGAGCATTTTGATTCACTTGTTCAATTTGCTTTGGGCATCAGCATCTGGAGAAACTTCTAACTTCTTTTGTGCAKCTGTAAGATCTTGAGCTGCTGAAATCATTTCAAAGCAACAGTTTGTAGAGCCTCTGTATAAGCTTTTGAGAACCAAAGCCTTCCTGCAGCATTCCAAACAGTTCTTCCTTTTGCAGTAGGGGGCGAAACCTCCTCTTTTTTATTATTATTATTATTATTATTATTATTAYTAYTAYTACTACTACTACTACTACTAYTACTAYTTTTTCATGGATGTGAAGCAAACACGTGTCCAAAAACTTACCAGCAGCTCCAGTGAAAACGTCACCCTGGGATGGACTTTCCGAGATAATGGCTGTGGCTTCCACTGTTGACGCACGGTCGAAAGTCAGGGCACCAGAGGTAGTGATCTGTCCAGAAGGAGTCACGGTGACTGGAAATAGTAGAAGCACTTTCATAATTAACACTCGGCTCTKAGGCCTGGGTTATTTAGCTACTGATATTCCTGTTCTGAATTGTCCTAAGTCACRGGATTCAGTCAGGAAATGACCTGTGCTATCCAAGTTTGGATATCCAGAAAATTGAAAATGGGAAGAAAAAGCTGTACGTTCTTTGGGGGATTTTTGTGGCTTCCTCCTCCCTTCATTTTACAATGTTACTGCCCAGATGATGCTAGTTGATGAAACCAAAAGGGACCCATGAATGCAACTGGGAGCATGTGAGAAGGACTGGCTTGCAAATTTAGTTCTGTTCTCGCACAGATGGTTTGGCAATCAAAAACATTAAGTGACAGCACGTGTGCTGAATGTTAGAAAGGAATCTGCAGATGAAAGTGTAACGTTCTGTCACATCTTTCGTTTATCAGTTTCGGGCTGTGGATAGGATTTCAGCAGCTCAGAGCCTGCTTTTCAGCATGTTTAAAGCAGCAGCACACATTTTACTACATGGTGGGGAAAGGTCTTCTGTGAAAAAAACTACCRAACAGATACTACCAGTAAAGGTCAGGACTCCAAACCTTCTCCTGCACTGTCAGACCAAGAGATAAACTAGAAAGGGGAAAGCTAATCCAGATCTCTCTCAGAGCAAGACCTAACATTCCCTGGAAAAGTGTACAAAGAGGCTTAAAAATTAGTTTCCTGAAGTCAGGTCAGTAAATCTAGAGTTGCCTATTTGTAATACAGATGGTGGCAACACTCTGCTAGTTTCTAAAAATGGGAAGGGAAACTGGATAAAGAGACTGAGCCAATAAAACTAGTCAATGAAAAGGAAGGTCCATAAAAGCAAGGAAATCGTTTCAGTTGGCTGATTGTACAGGGCTGCTGATACACATAAAATACCTAGTTTGACAACTCTTCCAAACAGGGAAGCAGGTTTTACCAGGAGAAAAGAACCTACATGTGGTAGCAGCTGTAGCAGGGAGCAGGGTTATATTTTTGGAGCAATCCTTTTTCACTGGAGTTGCAGGCATTTCGTTTTCTTTTTTCCGCCTTTTGTAGGGTACAAAGAGTCGTACAGGGCCACTCTAAAAGAGATATAAAACACACATTAGCAGAGCACTTTGGGCTTATGGGTGCACAGTCTTTTAAAATGCAGCTGAGAGTTGTGTCAAGCAGCAGCTATTCCCAAGGAATAGCTCATTTGCTACAATTGATCCCAAAGCCCTTGAAACTGTAGCTGCAAACCAAAAGAATCCTGTGTAAAAAAAATATACTAATTTAAGGCTTTACAATCTTTAAGACACATTGTAACAATTAATATCTGATGGAGTCCCTGCAGTGTCAGCTTTATAGATATTCAAAATAGGTATTGCTCACCTTAGCAAGTAGAATATGCTAAAAACATTTGTGTGTTTGCCTGCATATTTCATTATCAAAACAGCTATTCTGAGTTCTCACACTTGGCTCACCTCCAGCGAAAAAGGCACAAGTTTTGCTGCTTCCCACTATTATTAGAAGGAGCAGAACTGAGCAAATAATTATTTTCTGGCCAGGATGGTGGAGGAAAAGACAATAGGAGTGAATGGAAGACAGGAAGCACTTAGTTTCAGATCTAGGCAACAATTTAGTCATTTATTTCTCAAACGAAAAGGACTGTAAAACACTACTCCAGGTGCAGCTAAACATGTCTGATTTTAGGTCATTAACCTTATTTTTGAAAAAGCAAATATGAAAATATTAAAATACCACTTCCTTATATAAACTTCTTTTTTTCCAACTCAAAATACTTGTGGAATTCGAGTTCAAAAAATTACAAATAACTCTGATATCCCCAAAATGGCAGTTTATACAAATAAACGGAGGAAAAAAAAAAAAAAAAAGAGAGGGACAATGCAACAGGACTAGCAGGCAATTCTTTCCTTATTTGCTTTCTTTATGCAACATGGACAAAATATGCTGCCTTCACAGTACTTGTGAGCACTCCCAGGATGTTCCTGACCTGCTGATAGATTCCTGGGCAGCTTGACTGCTTAATTGTTTTTAAAAACAATGAGGAGAAAGCTACAACTCACCAGAGTCATGTCGTCGCAGCAGGCAGCACAAGTACAAGAGGCAGCGTGAGGATTTAAAATCCCATCCTGAAAGAGGAAGATTATGAATTCAGCACAGAGCAATGGTGATTAGCAATCATCAAAATCACTGTGAGCATGACTGTATGTTAGTAAAAAATTGAGACAGCTCCCTGTAAGATATATCTATTTCCCACTAGARACTTTTTCCAGTAATAACTTGTGAAGGGGGGAAGAGTGAAGGAAGAACAAATTTAAAATCAGAAAGCAGCAACGTGYGGATTTTTTGAGACTTTACGAAGCTTTTACCCACAAGAAATCACTGCCAGTCTAATGGCAATGCCATGCTCTCTGTCAGGCACTGAACACTGCAGAAAATAAAACAGCCAAGTAATAATAAATGGTGCAAATGAAGAATATGTTTGTCAAGCAAACAGAATTAAGAAGCTCAGGTTATTGAATTACACATCTCAGGCAGAGTGCGCGCTTCCCAATTGCCGCCGCACAGAGCTGAAGGCTGGACTTTCTGCTGCATAAATTGCAGCCCATTTTCCCAGTGTAAGTACATTTTGCAAAATGCTATTTGAAAAAGCAAAAAAAAAAAAAATCTAGAAAAATTCCTCCTACATCACTGCCTCTCAAGCAAATGAGACAGCCCCACTGCACTGCCAAAGATAACTCTAAAGAGGCAGGACATGTGGCTCTGGCTGCAGCGCTGGACAGCTCGGGTGCTACTTGTCCCTTCCTGCAAAATGTAGGGGACAAGTTTATCCTCACATGAATAAGGCACTGCAGTGGCCTCCCAGCATAGCGGATGCTTCTCTTCCAGTCTTTGCTGCTGGCTCGTCCTGCCATGGCTTCAAATTCTGTGGGGCTGTACCAGTTATCCCCTTGCTTAATGCACCTACCACGGCCTCCTGRATAAAGCCAGAAAAAAAGAAATYTGTAATAAAGGTTAAGACTATTTTCTCACTTCCCTAAAGAAGTAGACACTGAAACTTCTGGACAGAATAGTAATTAATCCAGTGCAATTATGAAATCAAGCCATTCTGCTGCTTATCATCAACTTAGGAAAACTGTGCCGTTCCTTACGTTAGCTGTTACAATCACTGTGCATGTTTAGCAAGCTCCAACTTCAGGCCTCACTGTCAACAGGCTGGAAAAAAAATGACTCATTCACAGGCAGGATGGAGAAACACCATGKGGTTTATTTCTTAAATTAATTAAATAATTATCTTAATTTTCACTTAAATTTCTAATCCTTCTGGTTGTGAAGAAAATGCTCTGTGCATGAATCAAATGCTGTGCTATGCACTCACACTTGCTCACAATTTCTGCTGATGTTTCTTCAGCTTTCTCACAGAGATATAAAGAGACAGGCTAAGACAACTAACAAGTCCCATTAGGAGATGAGCTATCTACTTTTCTCCTTCCCAGGTCAGCAGGGATTTTGCAGATCTTTGTAGAAACATGGGTCTATTCCAAGAGGTCTACAAAAAAAAAATCTCCAAAGTCAGCCCATTATCTGGAAGATTTACTGCACTGCAGCCCATATCTTCACAAAGGGAAAAGAAAGTCACCAGGTCTCCAAAGAAAGAGCAAGGAAGCAAGAGAGCAAAATACAGGCCAAATGGACTAGGCAGTCCATTTTTTAATTCAGAAATGCTTCTTAAAAGCAGCCTGCTTAAAAGAAAAAGGTACCAAGACAACAAGGAGTCATCACACTTTGAGCAAGGTGGTCATTTTTACCTGAGCCGAGTCTGTTTTTGTACAAAATCCCGCTGATATTCCGGCACCTCACTGGRAGCTCGTTGTTGTACACTGATGGGTCCCAGTTATACTTGGTTCCAGTCTTCTCTTGGGCGGATGTTAAAGGGGTGGGAGGAGACTGCGGTCCTTTGGGGAAAGAAAAGAAAGGTGACAGCAACCAAAAGGCACTCCGAGTATACATTCATATACATTCAGACTTTCATATTCATATACATSCAGCTTGGCTAGGGCAACAGCATCACGAGGTTAATTCAAGCAGCTGACACCTTCTCACAGCAGCAGCAGATAATTCACTTGGGAACCCGTGGGTCTGCTCCGCCAGACTCAAGAAGTCTTGCTGTGATGTGACACTCTAAAAGTGACTGAAAATGAAGCATATTGTGTGCTAGGAAATGATGCATTAGCTGCAAAGGTTGTAACCCACACTGGTTCAAAGCAGTGGGCTGGATCTTATACATCCCAGAAGATGCTACTGTCATGCCATGGTTTAGTAAGCAAGGTGGGCATGGGTTTACAGTGGCACCTGATACCTTCAAGGTCTTTTCCAAGCGTAAGGATTCTAGGATTCTGAGTCTATGTGTCTCGCAGCTAAAGGACTGTCATGCCATCTTGTGGTCAGCAGGGAAAATGCCAGGCCCAACAAAATCCTAGGAAGGACTTGCGCTAAAATGACCCTTAAATATCAGCAAAAGGCCCCAATGGAGAGGAAGTCACGTTCAAAGATCCCCTGAAAAGGACCCATATTGAGAACTAGGATATTCAGATTTTCATAATCAATACTAGAGTGATTGACCTGTTTTTGGGGGTGGGACACGTATAGAAAGGTATGTGACAGCCCAGCAGGAGCTTAAGGTTTTTCATGAAGTGTATTTGCAARGGGTGCAGCAAATGAGGAAGGAAAATATGTTTTCATAGGAAAAGGGAAATATTCTTTGCCTAGCCCTGAGAAATACAAATGCACCACATTAAGAGGGGACAAATGTCACTTAAAATGCAATTTTGTACTTTATGCCTGTGACTTCTTGTATTCCCAGCAACATGATCAAGCTAAAMGTTCTGGAAAATGAGACTTCACCAACAGACCGTCTTATACCTGGTGTGAGAGGTGCTGATGGCCCCTTCAGCCCTGTGGTTTCTACAATGCTGCCATCTGTGTGAACCACTATGAGGGTGGCTTTCTCAGTGTTCAAGCTGTCCCCAATTTGGAGGGCCGTTCTCCCAGACTAGAGAAGAAACAGAGAGTTTTAACTGACAGAAATTGAAATAGTGTATTTAAGCATTCCCCCAAAATCTTCCCAGAGGTATCCTACACCAGTAAAGCGTAGCAGACATTAGGTTATTTTTTGATATTAATATTTGAGATTTTGACACAGCCAGACTCAACGGTTACGCATTTCATTATCACCACTCCAAAGTTGGGTCCATGGGGGTAGAAAGGCAAAGCCAAACACCCAAAGTGATAAAGAGAAACCTCTATGTGCAGCTACTGATGTGGTGGGGGTTGAGCACCTTTATGCTACAGTGGAAAGATACTGCTGACCTTACCACAACTTGAACACAAACCAAGATTTTCATTTACATTTATGTATGGGACTTCTCTAAGGTGTTTATAGGAAGGGGCAGACTTACCAGCACGTGCCCTGAAATTGAAGCTGCATTTGCCACGGATGTAGTGAAAACATTGTCTGCAGAGGCGCCAACATTAGCTACTGTCACTGTGGTGACTTCTGAAAGATAAAGAGCCATCAGACTAATGTTCAGCTTCATCCAAAACAACCTGATAATGGCCATAAATGTCAAAAAAAAGTAATTTCATAATTACATTTTATCCCTCTTTCCTATCAATATCAATTCTGTTTTTGTGTAACATTGAACTGCTGGAAAATCTGATTATTATCAAATTTCAGAAGCGCGCTGGGCTGAACGTGCTTCATCCTCGGGGTCTCAACGCTAGTTATCAACATGTGTAGGACTAATGGAAAAACAAATATTCTATCTCTATTAGAAAAAAAACTCCACTAATAAMAGACTGAATATAGAGAGTTGACAGACATCAGGATAAGAGAAAACCACCGATCTTCCCATACCCACATATTAATTTCCCGGGGCCGCTACCTGCATTTGTTCCAGCTAAAATCACCCGCAAATATATCCAAATATTAATATGGTGCTTAGCGTAACACGTCAGCTTAGCTAAAATTGGGGATCTTTTTTCACTACTACTTTTTGGATGAAAATAAACAGCCATAGAAAGAGATATATGGAGATAAATGTCATGATATTACAGGTAGGGTTGGTTTCCACCTTTTGCTTTTTTGTGTATCAGAGTCTATGTTTAAAATTTTACATGGGACAGGGTACTTTTTTWAAAAAAAAAAGGTGGGTGGAAGAAGATCTGCGTACAAGGTCAAAATATTTTCACATGAAAAAAGCACCACCAAAAAAACCCAAATTCGGGCGGATTAATGTGCGGGGCGACCCTGGACCAGTAACGGTCGCCCCACGCCGCAAGGAGGCGGGGGGGAGGGAACTGCGCATGCGCAGTCCCTGCCCGCCCTGACCTGCGAAGGCGGCGGCGGCCTCGTCCGCGCTCGGCAGCGCCTCGGCTCCCATGTCGATGTGCTCGGCCTCTGCCGCCATCACGGTCACGGCCGTCACCTGCGCCGCCTCTTCCTCCTCCTCGGGCTCCGCCTCCGACTCCGAGGCGGCGGCTTGTTGCTGCTGCTGCTGCGGCGGCGGCGGTGGCTGCTGCGGTGCTTGCTGCGGCCCTTGCTGCTGCTCGGATCCTTCCGCGGCCGCCGCGACCGCGGCCGCCACTGCGGCGGCCTCCGCTAAGCCCAACTGCTTCGCCGCCGAGTCGGCGTCCTCCATGCGAGACGGGCGGGCCGGGCCCCCGCCGTTCACCCCGGAGCGCGCCTCGAGGCGGGAGGGGGGTGGGGGGTGTCACCCTAGTGCTCCTCGGCCAGGCACAGCCGAGCGGTGCCGAGGTCGCCCGATTGGTTCCGAACGTGCGGCGGAGCCGGGCGCTCCCGAGTCGCTTCCGATCGAACCCGAAGTGTCCCGAGCGCTCGCAGGCCTCTTCCGAAGGTGATCGGCGGCTCCCGCGAAGCTCGGCGCGCGCTTCCTCCCGGCTGGCCAATCCGAGCGCAGCACGGGAGCCGAGCGCGGCCGAGCCCGCAGCGGCTCGGCCCGAAGCGGTACCTGACGGATCGGGTGGGAAAGCCGAGCGCGCCCGAACAGGGCCGAGTCCCCGAGCGGTCCGGCCCGGAGGGTCGAAGAATCCCGAGTCCTTTCCGATCCTACCCGAAGGCGCGAGGAAAGCCGAGCTGTGCCGAGCGCTCTCCGATCACGCCCGACTTCCCCTTCACGATGCCGAACGGAGGCGCCCGAACGGGCATTGCCCGAATCCGCCCGAACGCGACCGAACCGGGCCGAGCGCTCCGATCGCGCCCGAAGGGAGCCGGGGGCCGGGCGAGAGCAGCGAGCCCCGCCCAGCCGCGCGGGGAAGAGCGGACGCCGCGCGCAGGCTGCCGGGATGCTGGAGGACTGGTCGGGGGAGGGGTGCCAACATGGCAGCCGTGAGGCGAGGTGAGCGCGCGCGTTGTTGCCGTTGCCTCCGTTGCCGCTTSGCTTCCCGGGGCCGGGCGGAGCCCTCACCTCCCGGCCGTGAGAAGCGGCTTCCTCATTATGGGGCATGGCGGTAACGGCGCCGTGGCTGCATCTGGAGGGGCAGTCCTGTGCGAGGAGCCCTGCAGGTTGAGGAGGCCTCCGGCCATGTCGTCACAGGCGCGATATATCGCGACAGGCCGACTATATCCACTGCTCGGCCTGGCTGTCGACCCCTTCTCGGACTGCCAGACCCTGGCTCGTGTAACCTGGTGCATGTTGTGCTCCTAGCCTCGTTTTGACCTAAACATATTTTTTATTCGTACTTTTGGGTGCTCTCTTTTGCAAAATAGCAACATATCTCCCCATGCAGTTCCTGCTTTTCATATTAACGGACCACTTGACACATAACATTGATATGGAAACATTCGCTTTATTCCTTTSGATGAAAGGAAAACATCATTGTGATATGAGGCGTTGCTTTCACTTTAGTCTTTATACCGGGGAATAATTAGAAACACATCTCTCACTATTAGTTACAACCTAACAAGGTGTTTAATGAAGCCTTTAATTACAGCCCTGCCAGAAAAAAATAAAGTAATGAAAGTCAGTTTGACCAGGGGAGGGTGGTTAAGGCTGTAAGGAGCCTCTGACCCTTTTAGAGAAAGGAGAAGGATGCACATCCAGAAGGATTTCGGATGAATCACCTTCCCAGATTGCTTGACTGTTTCCACCGTGTTCCCTAATTGGGTCCCTTAATTAGATGCCTAAAGTTAGTTAGGACTAATTGGGTCCAACTACATAAAGTTGTGATAAGGACATTAGCGCCAGGAAGTCCAGAGATGAAGGTGGTTGATGACTGTGTCCCGTTGATTTGGTGATAAGGGAATGACCCTAGGATGGATAAAAGGGTCTTAGTTTCCTCTGTGAAAGAAGACTTAAAACTGATCAATWCTTTGTGCCTCCAAAAGAGGATATTGAGGATATAAAGAATGATTTGAGAAGAACTGGTTGCTTAATGGCCAAATTGTGCTTTRAAGTGGAGTATTAGGTCAATACTATCATGTGTTAAGGGAATTTTRTACTCTTTTATCAAAGAAATTCAAATTTAGTAAGCTGTGGTATTTAACTTACAGAAAATACTTTTGAGGAATGTACAAAGCAGTCCCACTTTGAGGTCCTTTGGGTAGGACYGAAATATTTTACCTAGAATGATGTATTTGTCCTGTATTTTATGTAGAATGGAACTTGTTTTTTGAAGCCTTTGAAGGGAACTTATTTGGGAGCGTCTTGGTTGAGAGGAGCTGGGGGACCCTGTGTGCTACAGCACCATTTAAAAGCAAATGGGACCTGCTGCTTCCCAGCACATTTCCCTCGCTCCTTCATAGTTCAAAGGACATGAAGTTTTTTGGCCTTTCATAACAGATGATACGAAAGTAAAGGACAAGTGAGCTGGGCAGCTCTGTAGTTCTTTATGTTTTGAAACAGATACATACCTCGGGGGCAGGAAAAAAAGTACTTTTCACAATAAGGATTTTCCTAAATTATTTTAGAATTCATGCATGTGAAAAAGCTATTTTGGGAACCTGGGCTTCTTGATCTGGGGATATAMTAAGTTTTCCAGTAAACCGAGGGAAAATATCTAGAAGTATTTTTAACCTTTCTAGTGACATTTTGGCAGGGCTTTTGTTACTATTTACTCTAATTTTCTTCTCTTTATTTTTTGCCTTCTCAAGGGATGGGAAGAACTTCATCAATTGTATCCTTTTTGTGCCCTTCATCCCTCACGTGCAGCCATCTTCAGGAAAAAAAAAAAAAAAAGCGGTGGCACAGATGGATTCATTGCTTCCTGCCTAATAAACATTCACAGTGCTGTTTTAGTGTTAATTTATGAGTTTTCAGTTGTCAGCACCATCTGTATGAAGTCAGTGTGATTTTTTTTCCAGTATTAGTTAAGGGTTTTGCTTTACAAAACCTTTAGACAAACCTACAGCATTGAGAGAGGACTGGCAGTCATGTTTTGTGGTGATATTTCACTCTCATTTCCTTGGGGAGGCGCGGTGGGGGGGGAAATTTTTTTGAGATCTGAGTAACCTCCTTGAAAAATCACTCTTTATCTTCAAAGGTTTCCCTGTTTAGATACTATCTAGTATATTTTCTTTTTTTTTTTGCTCTACCTTTCTTCAACTGGGGAAGCAGCCCMCTGTTCTATTTTAATAAAATGGGCTGCTTAGGGACCTGGAATCYGCTGCACATGGCTGGGTGCTCCTATCACAACCTTGATAGGCAATTCGTGTAAGTGATACCTGGGGCTAAGTCCCTGCTTAGAGACATTCAGAGCATTTGAGAAGGCCTGGGGGSAAGAGGGGAGGATTAAAAGTGTGCTGATTATAGGAAGGCAGAAATCTGGAAATAACTTTGTATTACTTAAAGAATTGTGTTTGGTGTAATTTGGTTATTAAATGTGCTGCATGTGTGTCATGCCATTAATAACATGCTGCAGAGGCAGAATGTGTCATTCATTAGCTGTGTTTCTCCTTTGTAGGAGTTGTATGTACGAGTGAATGTGGGTGGGATCTTTTAGATCTCTTAAGTGTTAGTGTCTCTCAGAAATTAGTCATTTCAACTGCTTTTTTTAGTCATCAGGTTGCTGCCTTTAAACCCTGAACAGCAGTTTATCTCCTCCTSCCGTGGAGCTGCTTGACTTGAAGGCTTTTCATCTCCTGTGACTCTAGGGGGAGCGCGGAGAGCTCATTTAGGCCCAGCTGCAGGTTTAAAATGACTAATCCTAAGATGGCCACAGGTGAGATGAACTACCCTGAAACTGTTAAGTAAATTCTTCCTGTGTGTGATGCGCAACAGTGTCTGCGCATCTGGTATTCCATGATCTTCCCAAGCTAAGGAAGGCTGTTGGGAATTAACATCCCAAAACTCAGTTCTTAGAGCATTGTCAGATATATAACAAAGGCTGAGTTCAGCTTTCAATTTTTCCATCATTTAGACAGTGATCATAGAATCACTATGGCTAGAACAAAACTTCAAGATCATCAAGTCCAACCGTAAACCTTTGACAGGGTCTGTCTGCTTCATATAGACACTTACAGGAATTGGATATATTGGAGTCTCTATCAACTTGGTTAAAGGGGACTAACAACTATGGAAGTTGCTTGGGGCAATGTATGTGTGTACACGCAGTATATTTCCTTAGAGGCTACAACTAGCCCAAGCCCCASTGCACACCAAATAAAGTTCTTTAAAACTCAATTAAAATGAAAGCTGAAAATGCAGTTTTTTCCTCTAGTATTTGCAGTCTCAAGTCACTTTCTGAACCATAGAGAAGAGTCAAAGGCGAAGCATTTAGGGCGCTAAGACGCTGTATTTTGAGATTATTAGTAAATGGCTTTTTCATAAAATGAGTCCTTATTAGAAATCCTTAACAGCAGTTATTAGCAATCATCTCTTTCTTTACAGATTCTGTTTTATGCAAATGGCATTTATTACATCTTCTACTTCTTGGCAACTCTTGCAATGATTGTTTATAAAAGTAAGTTGCATGTGTTGTAGCACAGAAGCAGGCTGTGTGCTTACAGTATGCGTGTGTTTTGTCAATATGCCCGCTGTATTTTTGTGGCTCATTTATCCTGTGTTACTCTACAGGTCAAGTTTACAGTTACCCAGATAGTTTTTTGGCTTCTGATCTTGCGCTACTGTTTATTATGGCCATTCTTGAAGCACTCCGATTGTATTTGGGTATGTCATGTTATAAAAGTGTCTTTTAAGTGAAATGCTGACGTCTTTAAATGTTAATCATTCTAAAATTGGGCTATGGTCAAATACAGCAGTTTACTGACTTTGCAAGTTTTTGGAGATTTCTGTTTTAAGTGAGTTTTAAGTGTATGTAGTTAAATAGCAAAATCTGCTATGGGACCAACTTGGAAATAAGGTTCAAGTATGAAATGAGGCGTTGCTTTTTCACAGTGAGATTAATTTGAAATAGAGGTTTCCAGGGAAGATGGTAAGATGGTTCTAAATTACATAAGATATTAGAGTCAGCAGTGGGTGTCCTTAAATGTGCTGTGAAGTCAGGTGCCAGAGGCCTTGGGGTAGAGTTGGATGACTAAGAGGGACAGATCATAGCATCTGACTGGCATCTGTCTTCCTTACTTTCCCCACAATCAGATTTGAAGGTTGTACCTATGAGTAGCAGCTGTTCTTTTATTTAGACTAACTTGGCAATCAACAAGAAATGAATAGTCCATTAGTCTTTCCATTTGTTACTAAACTTGCTGGCAATCACCCTGACTGAAGGCAATGTTTCACATGTCAGAACATACCTGAACCCTTTCTGAACAGGGTTGCTCTAGAGCAGTCACGCTGAACCAAGACCCTCACAGAGGCTTCTCGTTTCCTCCGAGGTTCAAAGGGGAACCTGACAGAAGAAGAGGCTCCGTTGGGGCTCAGCCTCGTGCTCACAGTGGGCAGCGCCCTTCTCTGCGTCTACTTCCTGCTGTGGCAGACTTACGTGCTCAAAGCAGATGTCATCCTGAGTGCTGTTCTTCTCTTTACCTATGGTCTTGAGTCAGTGCTCGACATTGTAGCCATTGCTGCTTTTGTCAGTTAGATCTCTGCCTCATCTGACATAACACATTTTTTTCTCTAGGTATTTTTTAATATATTAGCAGTGTTTTGTTGTTTCCATATCAAGATCACATAGATCTTTCCCTTGTTAAAATTACAAGCTTTTTTTTTGGCAGAGGCCTCCCTGAATAGATAGATAAAACATCACATAGAGTTTCTCTGTAACACCATCTCCTCAATCAGCATTCGGGCAAAGGCCAAAGATGATTCAGCAAAAAGCCCTGAGAATCATCGAGCTTAATGCTGCATTAGTTGTTAGGGACCTATATTAAATATTAATTCCTAACACAGACCAAATAGCAGCCAGTGTGTCATATAGCTTTATGCCTTGGAGATTACATTAGTTCTACTGGTAGTGCAGCAATTTCTGCCTTACACTCCAGTGTCTGAGGCCACAATTCTGTTTCATTTTACCTCGTCTGCTCTCATTTGCGCTTCAGACCCCAATTTCCCTGACTTTAGTAGGGCAATAGCTGATTTATCCTGGGGGAGATGCTTGAATTTGGGGCAGTTTGTTCTTACGGATGGAAAGGCCAAAAACAATACCCTGTGTTTGCTTCAAACAGGATGCCCTTAAGCTGAGCGTAAACATTCACATGCTTTTCTGCCCATTTTAAAATCAAGCTGAATGTTGTCAGACATGTTTGTCTGGTTGGAAATGTGTCTGTGTCCATAGTTTGCAAAAATTGCTGCATTCAAGCCTATTTTGTTAATGCGTACGTAATAATGTAAAGCTTGGGGATCTTGAGGGTTTGTACAAGCAGTCACTTTTCTACTCAGAATCTCTTATTTTTGTATTTATTTATTCAAATAAATAATGCATTGCACCTGGGCAGTGTTTGAAGTGCTGAGTGTCTGGTTCTGATGCCAGGGTGTAGTTAAGCTGCTCAAAGGGAAGCTTAGGCTACACCTGTGGGCAAAAGACTCTTCTGATCCTGCTGCCGCCGTATTTAGGCCATTGCCTTGCGCTGGGAAGGAGCATTTGTTGATTTGAACTACCCAGGGGCTGAACACGTCGTGTTTTACCTTCAGCCACGCTGCTTTTTTTTTTGTTTTGTTTTGTTTTTCTCCTTCCAGTAATAGCAGAAGGGAATGAAGGATGCCCAAGTTCCTGCAGAAGCGCCTGATTTTTAGACCTCAGTTGTGCTCTGGGGAGCTGCTTCCAAGGCCAGGTAACACTAGCTTCCATCTGTGTTACACCTCCCAGTAGCTGTAATCAAAACACCCCAGTAGCTGGAATCAAAACATGCCCTTTGAATCTCCTTAGGTCAGAGCTTCATCCTCTTACTATTAGGCAGCACAGACCTTATGTTGGCTGAGGCAGGAGCAGGGTTGCACCCATGGCGAAAGCAGCGGAACTGGGTGCTGAGGAGCAGCCAGGAAATAATCAACTGACCAAATGTTTCTGGGCTGAATTTGAGCAAATATCCACCCATTTGTTTTTCTAAATTTGTTTTGTGTGCTGGAATGCACTCATCATGCATCTGCTGGAAAGAGAGACAAACATGGCAAGCTAGAGCTACCCAGGTCATGATGAGAGCATACCAAGCAAACCCCTTTTCTATACACACATGAATGGAAGGACACTTATTTCCTGGTATAAAGAAATACCTGTCTCATGCAAGGGTCTGGAAATAGAAAATCTGGCAGGATTTAAAGGAAAAAATTCTAAGTGGGGGGAAAAAACACCTGGATACAGGTGGTTTGGCAGATGAGGGTCATACTTGTTAACTTCAAGTTGTAACTTCTGTGTTTTTTTCTTTTTTTTTCTGGTGTTCAGGGACAGCTGAATGCAAGAAACAAAAAGATTACAAACTTTATGGGTAGTAGTAGTTTGATTCTTGACCTCATTTCAGGGTACTGTCTGGGGTCCTGCAGGCTCCAGGATGGCCATTAGAGTTTGCTGCCCCCCCAGCCTAGATCTGCACATCCAAAAGAGCAGGACTGTTGTGTTTCTTATTTATTTTTTTCCAGTTCAAAATAAAATCACCCACAACCTTTTTCTGTTTGGATCAGATACTTAGGTATTTTCACTGCTGTCAGCCCCTCGCTGGGTGCTGAATACAGACATTTTCTACAAAGTTCAGACCATTTCTTCTTCTCAGGTATTCTCAGGATTTGAACGGCAATTGTCACTTAGGCTGGTGGCTGATTTAATGGCAGATTTGCTCCATACTCAGCTGACACAACTCCCAAATGTTTCCTTTTTTTTTTTTTTTTTTCTCATCAGTAACACTTTTTGCCATCTCTGTGTTTGGAGAAGCCAGGGCATGGCATAGTAATGCCATCGATTGGTGACGTTTGCCAGACATAATTTTGACGGAGCTTTTAATTACGAGGCCCTGCCCTTTTGAAACAGGATGAGCAAGTTGGCATGAAAATGACATTAAAAATATAGAGGAACACGTATTTTGAGGTGCTCGGTTTGGGTGTTGTTTGCTCTGCAAGGAAGCAACCTTTGTTCTCAAGCCATCAGAGGGGTGGCTGCCGCCAGCCTGATTGAAAAGACTGATCCCGAGGAGCAAGTTGGCCTCCTGGCATTTCAAACGCAGAGATATTTTTAAAGATTTATTGGTCTATGAAACTTTTTTTTGGTGTGTATTTGTGTTCCCAAGCAGGCAGAAGCAGCGAGCGCCTAAACTGCCGCATTCCTCAGGTGCCCGTCAGCTGTTTTCATGGCAGCGTGAGCAGCTTTGAGCTGTGGGAGAGGATGTGAGGCTTGGCGTGGGAGGGGGGTGCCCCAGGTTCATTTGCAGCTGCGTGTGGGAACACAGCAAAGTCAACCTACAGGAATTGCCGCTGCGGATTTCCCACCTAGCAGCCGATTCCCCACCTAGCTTGGTGCCTGTGTCCCATTTTGTCCAGCATCAGCTATTGCAGGGAAGACTCAATAAACTCACTTGTGGTTTTCTTCCTTGCCTGGAGGGAAATGTCTCTCCTCTGCTCAGCAGGTAAGAGATTTCCTACAGGGTTCAGCGCTTGGCAGAGACCGAGACTATCTTTGTAATGAACATGGAGGCCAAAGCAGCCAGATAGGAAGCAATTTAGTAACTTGAACGTTAGATATCTCCTCCACATGATCCTTCCAACCACCTGTTTGCATCCTGGGAAAGTTGGCTCAGCCCTATTGAAACACCCAGATGATGAATGACACATTTTAGTGGGAGGCATCACTAGCTCCAAACCTGTTAACTCACACGTCCTGCAGGTCTCCAGCACTGCTTGTGCTTCCCACCACGTTTCCCTCAAGGAGGGCAGCCTCCTTCTCCTCCTTTTCCTTCCCCTCCCTGCATTTTGGTTACTTCTTCTCCCAGGACTATTTCCATGGTGCCTTGGGTGCATTTCCATGAGCTTGTGGGCTCATCATTGGGATCTCAATGACATTGCTACAAGGTGGGCGCTGGGTGCGTGCGCGGCCTTGAGGACCTGCTCACCTTGTCCTGCGGCACGAGAGGATGATGCTCTCAAAGCAGGGCCGAGCCGCTCAGCATTCCTGCCGGTATCGCTCACCAGGGGCACTTTCCTCCCCTGGATGTGGGCTGGGGAGGAGGACGAGCGCGTAGCCCCCATGTTGCTGCATGCACCAGGCCAGGGCACCGGTGATGAGCTCAGAGTTATGGGAGCTGCGTTTCCTCCAGGTAGATTATCTCTGAGGTTTCTTCCTCGCTGCTGGAGCTGTCTTTTAACTTAAATGGATTCAGAGTATGTTATAGGACTGATGGAGAGAGCTGCCATACATGTGTGTTTTGGCCAAATGGTCTTGCAAGCTCTGTTTTGGGAAGGGGATGAGCTGCCCCTGTATCTCACACTGCTGCTACCAGTCCAGTTGATGTGTCCCAGCTCAGTGTCAGAGCTGATGCTATCATTCTAAAGTGTTTCAGGATTGAAATCTGGAGACAAATGGAGCTCTAAGTTCTTTTAAAGTCATAGCCTGGCTGTGTAAGAGACTTTTTTGGAGCCCACTTCCCTGACGTGCTCACCAGGGCCACGCTGGTCCCAGGGCAGGGATCCAAGAGCAACTGAAACCATGAAGCGCCTTGCAGGGCGGCTGCTTCAAACGGCACTGTGGAGGGGTCCGATATGTCTGCCTGCCCTTCACAGGGCCTTTCCCCACCACCGACATCCAGGCGGAGCGAGTGGGAAGCCGTCGGGAACGCGGTGCTGCCGAGAAGGCACAAAAGGCGCCTTGTTCCCCCCACGAGGCGCCTGGCAGGGCCCCTGGGCAGCGCTGGAAAACTCCAGCAAGGCCAAGGCCCCCCGCTCACCGGCGGCGGTGCCGCACGGGGACGTGGCCGCCCTCGTGCCGCTGCGAGCTGCCGGCCTCCTAGTTATACAGTAACCTGTTGCTCCGGGTGCCGGCTCCACCTCTCACTGCCTCCACATCCCTCCCCTCCTCTGCTGCTGCCGCTCYGCTCTCCTTGCCAAGAAACCCTCTTGTCCAAGAAACCCTCTTGTTGTCATCGTCACCTGCGTGAGGCAGCGGGAGCTGAGCGAAGCCCCCTGGGGACACCAGGAGGGGCGGGCAGCCTTGGCCCCACGCGCTGCTCCGCGCTTCTCTGCGCAGCCCCCCACGATGGCAGCGGGATTTCACTAGGCGGGCGCGGAGAGGACACCAGGGGCGCCGGGGACACAGACGGGAGAGGCTTCTCAGCACTGGTAAGAGCTTTCCTGCCCAGCTCCGAGCCCAGCTTTCGCACCCTAGAACAGCCCCCCTGCTCCCCTGCCTCGAAAGCTTAATCCAGCTGCAGAGAGGGAACGCTCAGAAATGGAGCGAAACTGCATAGCTTTCTGTTCATTTCTTAAAAAGAGGAGAAAAAAATCCAAATTTTTTTTCCTTTTTTTTTCCTTCTCTTTTTATCTTTTTTTTTCTGATTTTTTTTTTCTTTTTTTTTTTTTTTTTTGGTTCTTTTTTTGGATGGCCCAAGATCCAGTAGGTGGCACTTTCTTGGCAGCAAAATGTCCGTTCTGGCGCAGAACAGGACTTTTTTCCTCCCCCCGCCCTTTTTTTTTAATAAACTTATTATATTCATTTAACAAAGTTTAAGGAGCCATTCGCTTGCAGACGTCAGGCTCCCCTTCTTTTGGGACGTGTTTTCCCCATCTCCCCACCGGATTGCCACTTCCACGGAGCACTTGCTGCCCCTGACCTTGGCAAAACTTGTCCCCCTATTTCCAACCCCTGGGAAGGCTTGTTCGGAGCGGCACGAGCTCTCCACCAGCCCTGGCTTGTATTAATGAGCTTGATTGCAGCTCTCCTTTCCCCTTCCACTTACTACATGACTGGAAAATGCCGTTGCGATTGTGCAGGGGAGAGGGCTGGAGATGATGGGTTGGACCGATGTCATTTTTAAATCCTGGGAATAACTGTGGGACAACACAGCAGTAAAATGGAATGATTACTGTGTGTAATGAGGGCAGTGAAGGTAACACTCGCGGTGCGTTTTTGAGCTGCTTGACAATTGCTGTGYGAGTTGAACGCAGTGCACAGGGGACCTGGTGGTATCACCTTCCTGGCGCCGTTTCTTCAACCGACAGAGTCGTTCACTTGAGCAAGGCGAGAAACAAGAATAGTCGGTCACGAAGGTAAAGGGGAGRCAGCAGGACTGAGTGGAGGAGCCCTTCAAGGCCCTGCTTTGCCAAGGAGCTCGGGAGCCATGATGGGAATGTGCCTGAGAAAGGGGCACMTGCGACACTGGCTGCTGCTTCCCCCCAGTTTGACAGGGTTTAAAGTGGCGTGTGGGGCAGCCCTACATGCTCCATTCCCTCGCGGTGTTCGCTCCTGGCCTGGACCTGCTCCCGGTGTCCTGGTAGGGAGCCAGGCTGGCTGAGGAGCTGTCGCTCAGACATGTGCCTGAGTCTGGATGGGGTCCCGGGACAGGATCCAGTCCAGCKCCCTGCGGGGCAGGGCCAGCTTGTCGTACAGCAGCACAGGTTGGAGGTCTGGACATGCTTGGGGCTGCCCGAGGCACAGCTGGATGCTGGGGGGATGAATGGGAGGAGCCCAGATCCCAAAGAAGAGAGGACAAGGCTGGTGCTGGGTGGCCGCTGCGTGTGGCATTTGCCTGCCGCGACCAAACTGCCTGCCTGTGCCAGCCCTCCCATCCTGGCCGTTCTGCCCCCATGCTGGCTACCGCCCCGCATGAGGATGGTGCCTCATGCATGGCACCGTGAGGAAATGGGCCTGGGGCAGCAGGCCCCGGGTCACAGAGGGAGCTGGCCTCTCCTGCCTTTGGTACTTGCCTGAGTTGCCTGCAAACAACTCGCCCTCAGCCTCGGTGCAACAACCTGTCATGGAGCCCTGTGAAGGAGMTCCCGTGAAGGAGCTCATATGGGTGGCTGCTTCTGGGTCTTCTTCCTCCCYGTGGATGGATGGAGGTGCCCTGGGCCTACGGATGGGCCTCTGGAGCAGGTCTGTAGCTTGCTCGTACTGCAGCACGTACAGCCCTGGTAGAGCATGGATGGAGAAGATGCTGCTTGCGCTAATGTTGGCAGCAGACACTGTCCTGCAGGGCTCTCCTGTTGTGGCTGCCCACTTGGCTTCAGCCAAGGGCATGAAAACGCAGGGAGGAGATAGGAGGAACCCAGGGTGTTGATACTAGCATCTGACCCATGACTCAATGTCCCTTAGTGTGCTCAAGAACAGAATGTTTTGAGAATTTTATTTTTATTTTATTTTATTTTATTTTATTTTATTTTATTTTATTTTATTTTATTTTATTTTATTTTATTTTATTTTATTATTTTATTTTACATTACATTACATTACATTATTTATTTTATTTATTTTATTTTATTTTTTTTTTTTTGTATCATCTTAGGATAATTTAGGTTGGCAGCATAAATTCACAGGGACAGAGATCTAGAAGACACTGCAGTGCTCCAAAGGCCTCGGGCAGTTGCTGGTGGACAAAGGGAGGACTGAAGCAGAGGGGAATATATGCAGTGGCTTGCATGGGCTTGAGGAACATCCACATAAAGTATGGCAGGTGCCGTGCCTGAGCGCGTGGGGGTTGTTATTCCCTTTCGGCTGGATCCCGGCATRCTGCATTTTTCCCTGCGGGCTGGATCCCGGCATGCCGCTTGGGAGCCGGGTCTCATAGCCTGCTTTCTCTCTCCTGTGCTGTGCTCTCCCCTTACATGTTGAGTCCRGGAGGCTCTGTGGTTTTCATGGAGATCTAGCGTGGCTTTTGCAGCACGAGCCCCCAGACCAAGGTCCGTCAGGCACCCCGAGAAACACCCGTCTCCCTCCCTAGGAGGTGTCCGAGCCTTCGGAGTCCAACCCTCTACACACSCAGGGTCACCCAGAGCACAGGGCACAGGATTGAGTCCAAGTGGGATTGGGAGATGTCCTGAGAAGGAGACTCCACAAACTCCCTGGACAGCCTGTTCCAGGGCTCTGGCACCCTCCCTGTCAAGAATTTTTTCCTCAAGTTCCTGTAGAACTTTTGGTGCTTCTGTTCATGGYCATTCCCTCTAGTCCTGTCAGTGACCACCCCTGGAAAGAGGCTGCCTCATCCTACTCGCTCCCTCCCTTGAGGTGTTTATAGGCACTGATCAGATACCCTTTCAGCCTCCTCTTCCTGAGGCTGAACAGGCCCAGCTCTCCCAGCCTTAATACCAAGTTGCTGCTTGTCGAATCACTGGCAAGAGGGGCTTGAATGGGAGGCCCTGGTCTCATGGATGCCCCAGGTGCAAGGACACCTTGAGAAGGAGAAGGGCTTCCCTGTGCCCGTGCTGGGGCAGGCCCTGCTTGGAAGCTCGGCATGCGTGGTTGCCAGAGGGCTCAACCAGAAATAGAAAGCCCTGGTGTTATTATTTCCTGGTAATCCACATAAATTAGGAGGAATCACAATTAAGAAGGGAGGGGAAGGTGTGTAGCTGGGAGCTGGACTGGTTTGGAAACGCTCCCTCTCCACCTGCAGTTCTCCAGGAGAGCCCAGCACTCGCTGCCCTTCACCGGCTGCTCCCCGGGACCTTTCCCCGCGCACTTGGCGCCCCCGAGGCCCTAGTGCCGAGTGGAGCCGAAGCCTCCTGAACCGCCCCCCTTCTTTGGGTGCCCCCTGAACACTGAGGCCTCTTCTTCCTCCTGCTGATTTGGTGGCCGCGTCGGGCTTATCAGGATGGCGCCTGCTGCCCTCATGGCCTCACCCCGAGCTGTTCCTGGCTGCGCTTCTGGTTTGGGAAGCAGGAAGGAAGAGCAAAGCAAAGGTGGGAAGTCACTGGCTCTGCTGGCTCTGCCACCCTAGAGCCGGTGCCAGAGAGACCTGTCAGGCTCCTTTGGGCCCAAGCTGGTTTGAAGCTCCACACATGGTGCTCAGGAGACTGCTTCTGTGGGCCCGGTGGAGCAGAGGCCTCCCCTGCGTGCGCAGGAGGCGGGTGCTGGAGCTCAGGGCGCTAGAGCAAGCGCAGTCCTGGCTGCTCCTGCAGCCATCAGGGTGGTCCGGGTGCCTTCCCCCAGTGCCTTGGGCACGGATGTGTCCTCATGGCCCCCGAGCCTCCATCCCGGCCTTGCCGTAGGTGAAGGCAGCTCCTTTGATGGACAGCAGAGTAGCCACGCTCTGCACGTGGTACCCTCRAGTGTTTGGATGGCAGCTTGGCAAACACCAGCAAATGCTGTCTTTACTTCAGGCTCCCACTCGGCCCCCAAAGTCTTTTAATCCCTTGAATTTGTCTGAATTTTGTTCTTCCTACTTCCTTTCTCTTTGTTTTTCACTCTCTTATCAGTCTCAGCCTGTCCAGATTTATATCCTACAAAGGTAAAGTGCAGGCCATTTGGATGGCAATAAACCAAAGTTCAGGCAGCCCAGCAGCAAGTGCTCACCCTGGCCGGATAAATCAGAAAGTGAAATGGTGCTGCTGGCGCCAACAGCACGGGGCCAGCCCTGCCTGCCCTGGCACCGCTTCCCTGTCTCCGAATCCATCTCTGAATCCAAGGGTGCCTCGGAGCGGGAGCTGACRGCGGGAGCAGCTGCTGCACGACGTGACCAGCAGGACATGGGTCTCCCGTGGGAGGGAGGCTGGTCCGGTCTCCCAGGTTCCTCCCCCTGGGAATGCAAAGGAGAACCCGCTGAGCCGGCCCACCCAGACCAGCTGGGGACCYGTCCTCACCCGCAAGCTCCTTTCGCTAGGAAATTCACCTCATGAAAATCCCGCGGGGAGGAGACGAAGGAAAGGTGATTGCACCCACAATAACCCTTAGTTAATCACAGGCTGGAGCCTGCTCTTATTCCTGACACTGCTGCCTCTTAATTATAGCCATGTTCATCAGTAGAAGAGCCGGGCTTTATGCATAAGGGAGCACTAATTAAAATCTCTCTGTTCCTTGGAAGAGCATCATGCTTTTCCCCAGGGAAGAAGTGAAAGGACTTGTCTCTGGCCCTTGCCCCGGGTTGTTCTGTCACTTTGACATTCATACAGCAAGCTGTTGGTCTTGTTTTCACTGCCTGGTGCCTTTGGCTTTGCTTCTAGGTTGAGATACGGGCCTTTGAAAACTCTCTGAAGGAGGAAGAGGGATCAGATGCATCCAGATGAACTGGGCAGATGGGGCTGGTGAAGGGAGAGTCCACCCCAGCACCCAGGCACATGTTCACTGCAGCCAGGCAGGAGGAAAGCAGTGTTGTTTGGATGTGAATAATCGAGGGCAACCACTGGTTTGG